CTCATTTTCCCTTCCAGCAATTTTAAATGGAAAGAAAAAAGCCAGAGAGACTAAAACGACCTTTTACTTAGTGTATTTTTACTTAAAAAGAGACATAAACTATTACTGGTCTAGAATGTGTTTCAGTCTCTGCGTATCAAACCATACCTTTAGACTGATTATTTTATGTTGAGCAGTTTTAGTCAAATCATGACGTCTCATGTGAGATGTTGTGCACAGTTTGTGTTGAGACGGACTCAGCAACAACCACATCAAACCTTAGCTCAACTTCTGTAACATTTACTAAGTCAATGCCAGTTTTGTGTTGGCTGCGTTCGATCAGCTGTGGCAGCAAACTGAAACTGGATTTATTCCAAAAGGTAATCAGGTATAAACACACATCCAATGGTGGTTTCTGAAAGTTTCTTTAAAATTTACCTAGTGGTTCATGAGATATTTTGCTAAAACATAGACGCACAAGAACTGGCAACAACAATATCATCTGCACTGAACTTTTGGGTGTCAGTTTATCGACAGATAAACACGATCTGCTGAATTCATACCTATCTGCTCACAACTGACTCATGTTCAGGCTGCTGTTTAATACACCGTATTATTTTACATTATCATTGTTTGGCGTATAGCTCAGATCCTTGTGTGAGTGGTGGAAAAGAGGTTAAAGAAGGTGGGCCTGTGATCGGAAGATCGCTGGTTCAACTCCCAGTACAGACAACATTAAAATGTGGGTGGTGAAGGTGAAACACCTACACCTGCTTCACCTTCATCTGCCCCGCTCTTGGCCCTTGAGCAAGGCCCTTAACCCCCACCATCTGCTCCCCCAGGCACCCTAGGTGGCAGCTCTCTGCTCCACACAGAGGGCTGTGGTAGCTCAGTGGTCTATGGCTGTGGCAGGAAGGACATCCGACATAAAAATAATTGCCAAGCCTTTGTGCGACTTAGTTCGCTGTGGTGACCCCTGAAGAAGGGAGCAGCCGAAAGAAGAAAAAAGAAGTATATCTTAGATCCTTGTACACTGTTTAAAACAAGGCCCTGATGTCAGATTGTGGGAGCAGCCTTGTTTGGTTCTGTCAAAGAGCTAATTTCATGATAGAAGGAGGGGATGACCCTGTTCACTTCCAAAAATGTTTGGTTTAACCATTTATTTGATCTCTTTATTCTGTCTTGTTGTCCCGCTCAGACAGGCTACAGTAGATGTACGATGAGATACGGAATGAAGTAAAGAGGACAAGTAGGTCCTCAGATATTCATAAACTACTTCCACTGAACACAACAAAAAAGTGAAGCACCTAGTGAACATGAAATATAAAGTCATGTGATTGTATTGGTGGAAATCCTTTGTTTGGGTTCAGAGCCCTGGAGTCAAGCACTAAATCTGTAATCAACAGTTTCCAGCTATCTCTGCTTTACGCTTTCATCTACAACAAAAAGAACACTGGGCAGCAGTGAGCTGTCTATGAAGTCACAAAGCTCCTGTAAACAAAGATAAAACAAAATCATTCGAACGTGTGTTTAACTAGTAAATACAGTTATTCAGGAGCTCTGGCCAATTAGAGGCTGACATTCAACCTCCCATTCATCTAAAACATTTAAAGAAAATAGTTACAAAGTAGAGAAATTGCATTTCCTGTGAAAATGCAGTGTGAATGATTATGCTGAAGGACTTGCTGAAAAACAGCTGAAATTAGCTAAAAACGTGCTGAAATGCAGGTAAAATGGAAGAACAAGCCCAAAGCAGGTAAAAGAACACATATTTGCTTAATTTGGTTTAAATAAGCAGAAATGAGGACAAAAATTGGTTGATTAGCATAAAAGGCTGAAATTAGCAAGAAATTGCTGAAAAGTAGCTGAAAATGCAGAAACTTAAACTACCAGAAATAAGTGGAAAAGCTGAAATGAGCTCAAACAATGTGGAATTAGTTTGAAAAGCTAAATTTAGCATAAAATAACCAACAAAGTCCATGCTCAATAATCCAGGTATACAATCCAACATTTTTCAGTCAGGTCATCTGGACAGTTTCTTTTTGTGCTGAAATGTTTCACCTTCCACCCAGAAGGCTTCATCAGTCAAGGAAACACACAACACAAAACTGATTCTTCCCCCAACAGGTTAACACCAAAGTGGAACAAACCAGTTGTTGGCGCTAAGATGGTCTCTTTTGCACGCCCCCTCCTCCGGTGCCGACCCTCTTCCTCGTCGGCAGTCATGTCAAACTGGTTCAAAACCAACAAAGCCTTCTGGATGGACGGTGAAATATTTCAGCACAAAAAAAGAAACTGTCCAGATGACCTGACTGAAAATTGTTGGGTTAGCATAAAATAGTTAAATAGTAGCTAAAAGAGCGGAAAAAGCTGAAACTAGCAGAAAAAAGCTGACAGGAGCATAACAAGCTGAAATTAGCAGAAAGAAGTTAACTAGGCTTAAAGTAGCAAAAATTACCATGAAAAAGTTGAATTCAACTGAAAACAGCTGACATTAGCTAAAAAAATGCTAAAAAGCTAGCTGAAATGTAGAACAAGCTTAACAGAAAAAAGCAGAAAGAACATGTTTGCCCAATTAGGCTGAAAGAAGCAGAAATGAGCACAAACAGTGGAAATTAACTGAAAAAACTTGAAATGAGCAAAAAAACTGCTGAAAAGTAGCTCAAAAAGCAGAAAGATGCTTAAATTACCAGAAGGAAGTGGGGAGAGGACATTTTTGCTGAATTATGCAGAAAAAAGTTTAAAAAAAGTGCCAAAAATGTGGAATTTCCTGAAAAAGCTTAAATACATAAAAACAGTTAAATAGTACCCAAAAATGTTGTCTGTTTTTCTTTACAATTTATACTTTTGTTGGATGTAACTGGGACCCTGTGTACACAATTTTGTTACACATGTACCATATGTTATGTGAATTACAATAAAGAAACCTTGACCTTGAAAATGTTGTGGTTAGCAGAAAGAATCTGAAAGGAGCACAAAACAGCTGAAAAAAACCCCCAGCTACTAACAGCTAAAAGAAGCTGAAAAATCTTTAACTTTGCACAAGGAAGCTGAAAGAAGCTGAAGCAGAACAAAATGTGAAATGAGCAGTAAAATGTTGTTAACAGATCTAAAGATCTGAAGGATGTAAAATGAGCTCAATTCATTTTCTATGAGGAAGAAAATGGCAGAAAAGGCTAAATATTTCAAAAAGCTAAAGTTGCACCAAAACCAAAAGTGTAGTGAACCTGATCTGAACCTGATCTGACCTCAAATCTTGATCAGATGAACAGAGACTGTTATTTCATTGATCTGCATCCAGAAATACAGTTTGAGCCATCTGGTGACTTTCTTTCTTGAATTAATCAAGCAGAAAAGACAATTCTCTATGATCATTACTATTTTACAAATGTTTGATAATCAAATTGTGTTAGTTTACTCAATGTTTACAGGTTGAAGAAAACTACTCATGTTTATTTTACATAAACAGTAAGTAATGATTTTTATTCCTCATTCAAAGAAGAAATCAGGTTAATATGCATTTCTTGATTTTCTGTCTAAAATGAGCCAGGTTGTAAGTATGTTAAAGGTCGGTTTTCGGTCAACTAAAATGTTTACTGAGAAAAAATGTCATGTTTAACTATTTGAGAAGATACAGCAGAGTGAGACTCCACAAAGTCTGGTTCTCTGCAATAATCTCTCTGTTTGTTGTTGAACAATCTCATTCTCTGACCTCGAATTTTCATAACACCTTACATCACAAACCACACCTTTTCCTGGTCCATCGACCAATCAAAGGGCTCTCAAATGACCCGGAAGTCGACCCATTTAAAATGTGGCAACTTCCCAGTTCATGTGTGGTTGCTGAGTTGCTGAGTTCATGCAGTTGCTGCAGTTTGCTGCGCTCAGAAATGAGTTCAAAGAGAATGTTAAAGTCTGAAGTCTGAAGCCAGACGTTGAAGATTGATGGAGTTAGAGTTCTTGGATGCAAACGCGTTCAGGATGATCCAGAGACGTTTTGGGATTATAACTTCTGTTTGAACAAACCTCGTACGACTCTCGAAGGATTTCAGCTGCTCTCAACGGAGACGCTGAAAGAGTCAAGGAAGGATCCTATACCGAGCTGATTTATCATCAACCAGGTAACGGTTTCTACTTCGACAAGCGTACCGTCGCAAGCTGAGATCTGATGGAGCGTGCACGTTTTCTGGTCAAACAGATTAATTCCCTCACAAATCTCTCTGTAAGATAAATCTCCATTTCCATCTTAAACTCTGCTTTCTCTTAAAATCAGTACAGATATTTTAGAAATATCTGAAGCAAAGTCCTCAATCACCGCCGTGTGATTGATGTTCATTATTTGTGAAACTTGTCTGTTATTATTTTCATATTTTGCCAAAATTAATGTAAATGTTTGATGTTAAACTTTGATTCTGAAAATAAATGACCGCATTCATTTGATGGGTCAAAGATAAATAACGTCTCTCGTTACATTTCTGTTAAAATTCAATGCACGACATTTACACAGTCAGAAAGATGAGGAACTCGTGAAAAGTATGAATATATTTCCCTATATGTCATACTACAAAAGGCATAGCCGGATTGTCCTGAAAGAGTTGAACGTTTTTGATTTATGAATTGCTGAAATAGTTTGAAAACTGTGGGACGAAAATCGCGCTGAAAAAAATGTATGGAAGAAAAATGGAACACGATAGTGTGAATGCTTCATAAACATTCACACTATTAAATGTGTGAGCATGTGGACAGAAACAGTCCAGCACGTCTAAACTAATTTTCTAGCATCTTGTTGAAATAAACAAACTCACCTTACTTTACTCATGCTACTTGGTGATAATGGAATAAAAATAAAATCTGGTGATGAATTACAAAAACTTTGTGGTGAAATCTGCCCAGAGGGCTTCAGATGGAACAAATGTTCCAGAAGGCTTTTAGGACTTAGTGGTGTGTGTTTGATGTGCTTAAAGAATCTTATAACAAAGAGATTCTTCTAGCATTTAAGACAAAAAAAAGTTTGGACTTGCCTTCCACCATCAGCATGGGCTCTTTGGCTCCTCCATGGGCCAACATTTCCCGGCGGTAACGCTCACCCATGTCCCTGCCAAAGACACAGATGGACAGAAGACTGAGAAGAAGATCTGGTTATAGATGCATGTTTTCTTCCCTGTCAGCACCCTTACTCATTTCTACAGCAGCCCAGGGCAAAAGTCTCTTCAGATGCTTGTTCATGACAGAAAGATGACAGGAAACAATCTCAAAAGGAAAGAAATGAGAGGAAAGAGATCGCAAGAAAAGGAAAAGCTAGAGAGGAAACACCAGAGGGCTCAGCCCAGTGGAGATAGGTGAAAGATGTTGTCAAACATAAATCAGTTAAATTCATTATAACTTTATTGTCCATAACAGTCCAGGAAATGGAGACCTGTCTTTGACATCTGGCTCATACGTACACTAGGCCTGTCACGATAACAAATTTTGCTGGACGATTAATTGTCTCAGAAGTAATTTCAATAAACGATAATATTGTTTGAAATTTGACAATAAATTAAGAAGAAATGTTTGTTAATTTGTTTTGCATGTAGTTCCTTTTTTGACAACAGTAGTATATCAAACAGTATAAGACTGTTTGAACTGAAGGATGGATAGTGAGGGAGCGAGCAGCGTGTCTCTTTAAGAAAAACGGTAGGGCGGCCCCCTGACGTGACATGGGCTGTCTCTCTTCGGTTCTCAAAATGGGGGACGCTTGGTGTGGTTTCAGCTCTTTAGCATAGCATTTTTCACACAAAGCTTTTAATTAAAAAATCAGTAAACAAGTTCTCAGCTTCTTTTTGCAGAGAAAAACAACTTTTTACACAAAGACACAGGTTTCAACTGTGAATTTTGGAGCTTCGACAAGACGGAGGTTTTTTTCCCCCCGAGGTCAGCCTGTTAGCTTAGCTCGTAGCTTAGCGTCTCAGCTTAGCTGCTTTTAATTATCCAAAAACGTGATTTTGGATAATTAAAAGGGATTTTAAAGAGAAAAGAGAAAGGAAGTGGTCGGTGAAGAGCACCAGAGTTGAGCCTTTTTGTTATCCAGTGTCTTCAGTAGAAAGAGAGACACGAAGAAACGACAAAGCCGATAAATGAAAATGAGGTTGATAACTTTCATTTATCATGCGATTAATTGATTTATTGATTATCGCAACAGGCCTACGTACAACATGTTAAAAATGCAGAAAAACCTTTAAAAAGCTTTGCTAGAACATGCATAAAAAACAATAAAAACTCTTAAATACACAATGCATTAAAAACAACATCTCCGTGGACAATGGTTTGTCATGTGAGGCTACGATTAAAGAGGACACTATTAAGGACGGTCGCAGAGGAGAGAACGAACGACTTTTGAACCCATTTTTCTTTATTAGAGGGACCAAGATAGCAGCAGCTTGATTAATAGATGCAGTGGATGAACTGGGTGGTTGTAAACCTGAATTGCCTTTTTGTCCCCCAGAACCTGACTATATAGATTTGTGAGTTGCATTTATTGATGATCAATTATTTTAATAGCTAATTTGACAACTTGTTCCAGTCTCTGTCGAAGTTCCCATCCAGACGATGTTAAAGGACCTTTCAACCAGTGACATGTACACCAACTTGCGTTAAAGCTCTTTAGCTTACATAGAAGGTGAAGACGCTGTCTGGCTGTGTTGTGAATAGTCAAAACTTTCAAAACTCCTTAAAGGGAAATAAGACAAAAAACAAAACAAGCCAAAAAAAAAAAAAAAAGAGTATAGAGTACCTCACTTATTGTGGGGGTTATGTTCCAGACACCCCCACGATAGGTGAAAATCTGCAAAGTAGGGACTTTATATTTATTTTACTATTATATATTAAGGCTTTATAAACCCTTCCCACACTCTTGCAATGTTCTAAACTCTCCAAACGGGCTAAAAGAGTACAGTGCAAGAGAGCAGACAGACTGATGCTACGGATACTGAGCCAATCCCGTGGGTGGACTTGCCATCAGGAGCACCGGGAAATGTTCCGAGTGAACGCAAAAGGGGACCAAAGGCTCAGTTCGGGTCACGCTTGATTATTTAATATAAATAATCCATGCCACTCACTCTGGTAACCACCTCTCTGAAGCTCCCACATCAGCAATGGAGAAAGAAAGACCCCACCACCGCGCACTCCTTTCTCTTTCCGAGGCTGTCTGTCACAGCAGAGCAGAGACGTCTCTGCTCTGCTGTGACAGACAGCCTCAGAAAGAGAAAGGAGGTGGCCCCTCAATGATCACTGAGCGGGCTAGGCCACCGGGAAATGTCCCGGTGCTCCCGAAGGCCAGTCTGTCCCTCAGCACAATGCTCTGATTGATCGCTTTCCATCAATCAGCCAATCCTGTGTCTTGTCTTGTCTTGATGATGTACAATCTTACATTGAAAACCCGTGAAAGAGTGAGTTCTGCAAAAGTCGTACCAAGAAATATCGAGGGACTATTATATACTTTTTTTTTTTTGTTAATTCTGGCTCTCTTCCTTAATTTGGGATTGAAATGGTGAATTCTAACTTTAGAAAAGAACATTTATATAAACAATTAGTTTAAATTAAAATGAAAAAATAATTTTTTTTTCAAAAACAAACTGACTAACAACAGTGAAAAATTAATTCCTAAAAATCACCTAAGCAGTATTTGCATTCTGTTTTGAGGCTATTCATGTTACCAATAATGGTATTAAATGTTATCGTTTAATCTCACCTGTTTAAAGGATTTTGAAGGAAGCACTGTTTCCACACCATGTAGGCTACAGCCCGAGACATGAGGTATGAGTAGTACTTGGCCCCGTAGCCGATCAGATGGCTGAATCTCAGCTGCCATGCCTGAAGAATAAACCCAAAGTGAAATAAAAACATCAGTTAAGTTAGATTACAACTTTGGGTCCCTGTTATAGAGCTTATGAGCAACAAACCGACAATGAATGCAAAGAAAATGAATAGTCAGAAACAAATTAGCAATAATATCTATAAATATTAATTCAAAAAGCATAAATATACGCTGATGTCCCCATCGCTAAAGGATTTAAATAGTGAATGTTTTGTAGTTTTTGTGATGTGACTTCTGGACTGAAATTGATCAGGAAATGCAAGTAAACCTCAACATTTCTGGTACAAGACGTTCAAGTGGGTAGGAGGTGTGCATCTATACCATGCATGTATTTGCACAGGTGTGCAGTGGAGAGCATCCTGTGCTCCAGCATCAACGTGTGGCATGGAGGCTGCACAGCTGCAGAAAGAAAAGCTTTGCAGAGAGTGGTGAAGGCTGCACAGAAGTCTGTTGGAGTCAGTCTCCCCACCATCACAGACATCTACACCTCCAGATGCATTAAGAGGGCCACCTGCATCATGAAGGACCTCACACACCCAGCACACACACTTTTTGCCCCACTCCCCTCAGGAAGGAGGTTGAGGAGCATTAAGTGTAGAACCATTAGACTGAGGAACAGCTTCTACCCTGAGGCTGTTAGACTCATGAATCTCTAACCAGAATAATCACTGTGAAAAAAAAAATCATATCATGTTGCTGCTGATCTGTTTCATGTTGCTGCTGATCTGTTTCAATGTTGTTGCTGATCTGTTTCAATGTTGTTGCTGGTCCGTTCCAATGTTGATGTGTTCATGCGTGCACATCCGCTCACACGGACTCATGTTCATGTTTGTGCTGATGTTCAATGTTTTTATGTTATGACTGCTTAGTGTACATCTCTTAATGAAATGAGGATAACGAGTTACAACAACAAATAATTTCCCTTTGGGATTAATAAAGTATTTTTGAATTCAACTGAATTCAATTGAATATTGCTCGCTGTCTTGAACGCCCAAGTTTGAAACAAAGTACACAATACGCTCAGAGTATATGATCAAGCCGAGGAAAGATTAATCAGTTGTTGAGTTCCATTAAAATCTGTTGAGCAGTTCAAGGAATATTTTACTAACAGACAAACAAACACATGCACACAAGGTACGTGCAATTATATGATCACCCGCATTCTATGGTGGTGGGCGATTATGAGCTGCCAAAACTTGAAGATGAGAAGTGCATCCCCGCTGGGGGTGATAAACATTCAGGTGAATAAAATAAACACGGATTTCTTAAGAGCAAAAAATGTGACACACTCCATGCCCGTAAGGAAGATACAAAATAATCAAATTAAATTATATTGTTACATAATTGGGCTCCAGTTAGCATGGAGCCAGCACATTCTGCCTGCAAGGATTTAATGTCATATAAAATTATCATATTCTTCTGCAAATAAAGGTTGACCCAAACAAAGTAAAAGTCCCTTCCACCAACTGTTTAAGACCAAACATAAATCATGTGTAGACGTAATCACAATACAGCAGTGATCACGTCTCATCACTTTTACACAAGACAACAAGAAACACTGGTATAACAATGTGTAAATACATTTTCCTTCATAATACTGAATGTGACAAAGCAAACTCAGAGTTAACAGAGCTGGTGTTGTGTGAATGTAGTATAAATAGTGGACAGAGTTAAATCCATCTTTAATAGATTGCTTGTAAAACTAGTTGAAAAAAGCTGACAGAAGGTGCATTTAAAGCTGCTTTTCTACAACGGCAGCAACACGTGACAACACCTAGACCTGTCACGATAACAAATTTTACTGGGCGATTAATCGTTTCAGAAATTATTGCGATAAACAATATTGTTTGAAATTTGACAATAATTATTAATTATTGTCAAATTTAAGAAGAAATGCTGGTTAATTTGTTTTGAGTGTAGTTTTTTTTATTTTTTTGACCACTGGATGTCAGTATAAGACAGTTTGAACCGAAGGATGGATAGTGAGGGAGTGAATGTCTCTAACGGGAGAGAGGCCCCTTGACATGACATGGGCTGTCTCTCATTCCTATTTTTCAGTTCTCAAAATGGTAGACACTCTGTGTGGTTTGAGCTCTTTAGCATAGCATTTTTCACACAAAGCTTTTAATAAAAAATCCGTAAACAAGTTTTTTCCCCAAGGTCGGCCTGTTAGCTTAGCTCGAAGCTTAGCTGCTTTTAAAGATCCAAAAATGTGATTTTTGATGGTTAAAATGGATTTTAAATAGAAAAGATAAAGGGAGGGGTCAGTGAAGAGCACTGGAGTTGAGCCTTTTGTCATCCAGTGTCTTCAGTAGAAAGAGAGAGACGAAGAAACGATAAATTAAAATGGGGTCGATAATTTTCATTTATCATGCGATTAATTGATTTATTGTTTATCGCAACAGGCCTAACAACACCATGAAAAAAAACTAAAATTAAAAACAATAAAAAAAAATAAAAAAAAACCTCAATATGCAATTGTCATTTTAAAGTTTTAGAAAATCTAAAATAAAAGGTCTGCTGATGTTTATATCAAACAGTTATAAGTTTTATCGATTTGTCTTATTTGTATTATCATAATAAAAATTAGTACTTTTCTTTGTGAGGGAAAAACATCCAATTAAAACGTGAAAGGTCATTGTATAAAAAGACAAACGTGGAAATTATTAAATGGCAGAAAGACCTGTTATTTTCCTTTCCTCTCCTGCTGTTGCCTGAAGGAGCCCCTCTCTACAGCTATAAAGACAGGATTTATTTTATGATCTCTGCAAACGCTGGAGAATTCAGCTGGCAAACACAAACATTCCACAACAAAATACACCAGAATGATCCCAGGGTCATAAAAAAGTCCACTTTAAAGGTGGTATGGATTTATGCTTCAGATATAAGTAAACCATTATTTCTGGTTGAACGACTGCTAACAGTGTGGTCGATAAAAGAGTTTGTGTGACCTGACGACACCGTTTGAATATTTTCTGACACAAAGGAACAATAGCGTGTTGATACAGTTCACTAACCTAGATCTTCTGGTCTCTTTCACTGCAAAAGTAAAGAAGAGGGGGCAAACCAAAACTTGGTCAGGTCTACGAGTAGCAGTTCAGTAAATGTGCCGAAACATACGAGACAAAGGACGAAAGTTTGCATTGTAAACAGAAACAAAGTGTCAAATTCAGATATTCACGTTCTGATTTCTGGCAAAAATAAATAAATATATCCATTTTCTCAGGGCAAACCACAGGTATTTTGTTATTTTAGGACTGAATTTTAACAATAGAGACTGTTTAAAACTGTAAAAATGAATAGGAATAATGTGACTGCAACTTCTTTCAGCTTTTCCCTCTTCAGGGATTGCCACCGCAAGTCATCCTCCTCCATCTCTCTCTGTCCTCTTCATCCTCTGTCCTCACTCCAACTACCTCCATGTCCTCTCTAACTGCGTCCATATATCTCCTTGTTGTCTTTTTCCTGGCAGCTGCATTTCTAACATCCTTCTACCAATATACCCACTGTCCCTCCTCTGGACATGTCCAAACCATCTCAGTCTGGTCTCACTAACTATCTCCCAGTTGTTCAACCTGTGCTGTACCTCTGATGATCTCATTCCTAATCTTATCCATCCTTGTCTCTCCTAAGAAGAACCTCAACATCTTCATTTCTGCCACTTCCAGTTCTTTCTCCTGTCTTTTTGTCCATGTCTCTGTCTCCAGAACATACAACATAGCTGGTCTCACCACTGTCTTGTAAACTTTTCCATTGACCTTTGCTGACAACATTTTGTCACAAATCCCTCTTGAAACTTTTCTCCATCCACTCCATCCTGCCTGGACTCTCTTCCTCAACTCTTTACCACACTCCCCATTTTCCTGGACAGTGGACCCCAAGTACTTAAAGTCCTGCACCTTTGGGACCTCTGCTCCTTGTAGCCTCACTGTTCCACCGGCCTCCCTCTCATTCACTCTGTCTTAGTACGAATGCTTTTCATTCCTCATTCCTGTTTCTGCTGCTTTAGTTCTTGGAATCAAATTATATTAACACTAAATGATGTTTATTTGTATGACCTAGATTATAGCAAATGTATGTCTATGTTTAACTTTTTTTAAATTTTCTAGACTCAGTTCTCTGTGAAAAAGTATTTTTCAAGTGTTTGTAGTTTACCTTAAAAAATCTGCTAATTAAATTCAGAACCAGATTAAAGCTATAGAAAGTATTGGCTTTTTGTATCGTATGTGCTAAGCTTGTTTATATTTGGAACCATACAGCAACGCAACTGTAATGGGATAAATGTAATTTATAAATGATCAAATATGAAAAATAAAATGTGTTCAATGAGCACATCAATCTTTGAAATATAATCCCTTTTAATGAAATAGTCATTTTACAAGGCAGAAATCTATCAGTCTGGCAAATATAAATGGTAATTTTTAAGTTATTTTGTACTGCGCAAAGGACAACCTGTGTTATGATTAATAAAATATTAGCCTCATGAATATAACAAAGTTATATGAAGCCAAAAACACCCTTTTAGTGACAGCCTTTAGGAGTTTTATTGATGTAATTACATTTTCACAAGTGAACTATAAGATTTATGTTTGAAAGTTTAATCTTATGGACTTTGTCACCAAAAGTACTTGAACATTAAAAGCTGTGAGACTGGTAATAACAAGCAAATTTGACATCATGCAAAAATTGTAATTTATTTTTCCATACCAGATCATTTGTTGAATTAAATTAATTAAAAATGTTGCAACACACTCAACCCCCCACAATAGTTTTTGTTCCCAATAATAAGAGGCTCTAGAAAAGCACTCTGAGGAGCCCCAAAGAATACACTACAATGAGAAGCTGCACACTTTGTAAATACATCATTCAAATGATAAAACTGTTGTTATCAGCAAAACATAAACTTGAATTGTCTGTCTTGCTGAACCCCCAATATGACAACGAACCTCCCCCCTCCCTACAAAAGCCAGCAACCTAAGGGAAATGTTGCAATTCTAAGCCTAACCGATTAATGAGGTTCCACTGATGATTCTGGTTTCTGTAAAGACTACTGGTCCTGACAAGTTACGTGTTTGTACCAGAAAAGGTCCTAAAAAGGTAACTACAACTAAGCACACACACACACTAACTATACTCACACAGCAAACCACTTGACAAAAATGTAACAGACAAAAATCTTAATATTATGATTTTAAATATATTGAAAATATCTGTATTTTTATACAGCAGTCCCTCACTAATTCGCGGTTCGTTTTTCATTTCGTTTTTCAAAATAAAATTGGACATGACACACAATTGACTGACTGATGGATGAGCCACACGATCAGCATGGGATTTATATTTTAAATGAATTATTTTAAATTATTTAGCACCTGCTGCACCTGTGCACACAGCCCACACTGCAGGAGAAACTTCCTCCTGCAGCTCCTTCTCCCTCCTCCTTTATTGATCTCTGTTCTGCAGTGAAAAGTGGGCGTGGCCGAGAGCGCAGCCATGGCAGAGAGCAGAGCTGAGTTCATGGCATTCTGTGCTCCTTTAGAGCATTTAGAGTTTAGAAACATTGTTTAGATTATTGAAAAAGTGAAAAACTTATTTTTACATATGAATGTTTCTGTTCAGTGTCCTGAGATGACATCTGCTGTGATTTGGCACTATATAAATAAACTGAATTGAAATCATAGTCAGTCAATAATAATACAATTATTTTGCAAAGCATTCTTCGTAAAGAATAATTAAAATGTAAAAAATAAATGCAGTGGGTTTGAGAGCTAAAATCAGTGCAACACGACTATGATTTACCAGAAAAATCATATGATTGATGATACTGCTGATAGATCAGCACATACAACATGCTGAACAACATCTCCTACTGATTTGAAGTGGATATAATCATGTGCAGTTAATAAAATATATATAACGGTGTGCTGTAATCTGTTAAGCAGCTGTTGGACAGTTTAAAAAGTGTTGGCCGCTTGTCCTCTCTGTGGTCTCATCCAACAGCCTGAAAAATGCTAAGGCTACCAAATGTCAAGCTGACACGACCTCTCTGGGCTGCAGAGACTTTAATAAGAATTAAAAGCACTCCTGAGGAAAGTCACAGCTCACATAACGTCAGGCTGAAGAACGTTAGCAGAATTTAGGCTGCACAGCACAAACTGTTTTGGTCACGCCTGTTTAAGGCATTTAATGATGAAAAGAGAGAAAGCTGATCAAATGTGTTGATACATGAACATCAACTTGATCAATATGAAAGGAAAGGGTGGTTGTAGTTGCAGCCTGTGTTTTACATGTTACGCCACAGCAAGCCTGTCACGATAAATGTAGCTGGGCGATCAGAAATTATTGCGATAAACAATATTACTGTTTTAAATTTGACAGTAATTAGTAATTACTGTCAAATTTAAGAAGAAATGTTGGTTAATTTTTGTGTGTAGTACATTTTTTGACCACTGGATGGCAGTATAAGATATTTTAAAACAAAGGATGGATAGTGAGGGAGCGAGCTGCGTCTCTCTAATGGGAGGGAGGGTCCTTGACGTGACATGGGCTGTCTCTTGTTCCTGTTGTTCGGTTCTCAAAATGGCAGACCCTCGGTGTAGTTTGAGCTCTTTAGCATAGCATTTGGCACAGAAAGCTTTTAATAAAAAATCAGTAAACAAGTTCTCAGCTTCTTTTTGCAGAGAAAAACAACTTTTTACACAAAGGCACGGGCTTCAACTGTGAATTTTGGAGCTTTGACAAAACGGAGGTTTATTCCCGAGGTCGGCCTGTTAGCTTAGCTCATAGCTTAGCTTCTCAGCTTAACTGCTTTTAACAATACAAAAACGTGATTTTGGATCGTTAAAACAGATTTTAAAGAGAAAAGAGAAAGGGACGGGTTAATGAAGAGCACCGGAGTTGAACCTTTTATCATCCAGTGTCTTCAGTAGAAAGAGAGAGACGAAGAAACGATAAAGCTGATAAATGAAAACGAGGTCGATAATTTTAATTTATCACGTGATTAATTGGTATATTGTTTATCGTGACAGGCCTATGCCACAGTCAAGGTTTTCATGTATAAAGTAGACTTCAATTCCACAGTATCAAGTATTTCACGGCAGCTGGCATTTTAAAAGTGAACAAAAATCTACAAAAGAAATGTTGAGTATAATTTCCAAGTTTCTTGAAGATGATTTAGATAGACATCACATCGATCCTTTAAAAGGACATCCAAACTTGACATTAGACAGACATACAGACAGTTAGGGAGGTATACTTTGTTCATCCCTGCAGGAAAGAAATAATTAATTGCAGCTTTTCTAAAGGAGGGCATGTAGGTCACGTCAGTACAGATGTCCTTTGATCAAATAAATAGATAAAAACAGGCTGTTCACTTTATTTAACTTTCATGTGAGATACATTTTTTTTTCTTGTTCCAAACTGTTATGTTGTTTTACAAGGGAATCTACAACACGAGCTGCTATGTAATAAACACTTTTTAAACACAGGATTATAATTAAAACAAGTAATAAAATGCCAAACTACAATGGACTCCTAAAATGTTGGTCACTTTTCCCTTTTTCTCATTTTTTTTCACCTTTAGCATGTGGTGTGTATTACTCTTAGCTGATTCTCTCTGTAGACACTAACTGATGGCCCCATTGGTTCATGCTTCGAGCACTCAAAATCAGCTGATTTACGAGCTAAACCGTAAGATGGAAGGGATTTGTGAGAATCACGGAAACTTGCGGCTTCTGGGACTCGCCAGCATGTTGGGGACGACCTTGTAGAGAGATAATAAGCACGGACTAGTAGAATGCCCACAAATCTGGCCATTTTGGATTGAAAGTACCAGCAGGACTCAAGGCTGACGAGAAATAACAGTCTGCCTAAAAAAAATCAACAACTGTGGCTTATCTGAATCGGACTCCCCCGTTTAGCCTCAAAATAGGCAGACTTATCAAAATTTTCCTGGGATATGTGTAAACTAAGAAAGCTCTGTCTATCGCAACCCCCCAACCCCTTCCAAGAACTTCTGTGAATGCTTACCAGAGCTGTACCGACTGACACCAACATCTTAACAGGACTATGGTGCTATCTGGAAGTTCTTCATGGACAAACCTCACCACCTTGCTATCAAATGCATATGTAATGTGTTACAAATAAAGTACAGTTGTTTTTGTCTTGAACTTTTTTGAATTTACCATGTCCTGGATGACTGAGAATATTCACCAAAATAATCTCACTGTATTTCGGTACAATGATAATAAAGCTTATTCTGATTCAATAAATCACACATACCAAAATCACCTTGATGTTTATAATCTGTGCCTCTTTATATCTATGAAAAACGCAAATGTTCCTTTTACTGGGGAAACTTTTCCTCAGCTTTCTTTCCACAAAGACATTGAGAGAAACAGGTTTTAGTTTCCTGCTGCTGGAGAGATGATCCAGTTTTTGGTTGGAAAATTTGAAATGATTGTAACAGTATGAAACTAAAGAACATAAACCACAGTCTCTGAGGAGGGAGCTACAAAGCAAGGACCAAGCATGAGACAGGGAGGAAAACTGCTGATGTTTGAGGGACTATACAGCTCTTCGGTAATCTCAGTTTCTGATGGCACACCACATAATTACAGCTCGGAGTGAATGCAGCATGAAGGCCTTTTCTGGTTGAATTATGACTCTGTCTGATTCCATTTTGCCTCCTGGCTTCCTCCTTTTCACCCACAACTGCAAAAATGAAGGAAATAAAAATCCTTTTTTCCCCATTAATGGCCTGGTAGGAAGAGTTTCAAATACCTCCCATGGGAGAGCTCATAGAAGTCTTTTTTCTTTGTTATTTTAGCAGGACTTCAAAGAGTGCTTTCATCCTTTAAATACTCCTATGCCTGCATAAAAGATATAACCAAGACACACAGAATGAAAGGAAAATTCTGGAAAAAGGGAAAGTGGGAAGAAAATTTAAGAAATCCAGCCAAAGTAGTGTTGAGGGGAAAAGCCTTTAGGGAACCAAAAACTCTAGCTCCTTATCAACCACTAAGGCTATAACTAATCTACAGATTACAACTTTTCAACAGTGGATGAAAAAAAACATTCAAGTCTCAAATATCATCTGAAGGAGCACGAGATGTACCGTATTGGGCGTGTAAGGCAAGCCGTAAAATTTCTCCTGCATTTCCTTCAGGATCTCTGTGGTGGAGCGTTTTTGCGGTTTACTGTGGTAAATCTGGTCCAAGACAGCGTAGAAAATCTGACAAGAAAAAACAACAGGTATTCAGCCATACTTAAACACATGTGCCGGTCCCATACCCGGGTAAATGGTGAGGGTTGTGTCAGGAAGGGCATCTGGTATAAAAACACTTTTTACGAAACTAATATAGTAGTCCCTCGATACTTCGTGGTTCGACTTTAGCAGTTTTTCAACATAAGATGGTTCACGACGCACAATTGTCAACTTTAATATTATCACGTGAATGGGACGGTACAGGATAAAAAGTTAATGGGAGTGGAAGGGATTGGGAATCAACCAATAAGACAAAAAATAAAAATAAAAAATAAAAAAAAACGGACAGGCAGCACCAGTTTGTAGTTTTCTTTAAATAAGTCTACAATTTAATGCAAGTCAAAAGAACTACACAGCCCAGAAGCCAACAGTGCTTTCGGCCGCTGCTTTCTGCTGAAATTCAAAGAACAGCAATTGCGGGAGCAAACACGAGTGGAGAAACCCATGTGGTGAAAATAGTTTTGCAATGCAAAGTCAGAAGAAACGATCTATTTGTCTGTTAAACTCACAGAAAGGGCAGGAAAGTCACAAATAACCCTGACGCTGAACTCAGTTGTAGTATCTTCACTGGTGAGTAACCATATAAAGTTTTGCAGTACTGTACAGTACATATACCTACGTTGTTAAAATTACGAAGGTTTAAGAGTTTAAAACATTGCAAGAGTGTGGGAAGGGTTTATAAAGTCTTGAAATATAAATACTAAAATGAATATAACGTATTTCCCACCGTATAAGTCGCAACGCCCTATAAGTCGCATCAGTCCAAATATGTCTAATAAAGTGGAAAAATCCATAAATATGTTGTTTTGCCATATACGTCACATCTATTACGCGTCACCGCTGCCAACCCGGAAATGTGGGCCGGTGTTGTGCCAAAAATCGATTGGCTGCCAAATGGCAGTTGCGGGAGCGTGCAAAGGAGGATTTTATTAAAAATTTAACAAGATTAACACTTGAAAACAATTATTTGTTTGCTCGAAATTATAGTAAAAGTGTGTCTCAGTCTAACTTTTGCTTAAGAAATGCACTTTGATGGTCAAATCAGATGTATTTCAAAAGCCGATTTGCGGCTGTGGGAACGCACAGATGGATGACTTGCTGTACAATTTTTGAAATTTAACAAGATAAGCACCTAAAACAATTATTTGTTTGCTCGACTTTATAGTAAACGTGTGTCTCAGTTGAACTTTTACTTAAGAAATGCACTTCAAAGGCCAAATTAGCAGCATTTTGCTGGGGCAGCACAGCAAAAGGAAACTGATTTGATGGTTGCTCCAGGCGAGCTGGACAAAGGTGGCTCTCTATGGCAAGCTGATTGTGTCATTAATAGCCACTTTTTGACCTATTATATGACGCAACAGCATGCCACACTACAAAAGTGCCATCTAGTGGCTGAAAATGGTAGTGTTCAATATTTTCAGTCACAATGAATGAAAACGGTTACATCTCAGCCAAAAATTGTTTTATAAATATGGGAAAAAATCCATAAATACGTCACTTTGGCGTATAATTCGCAGGGCATGCAAATTATGCAAAAAGCCGCAACTTATAGGTCGAAAAATATGTTAATGTTCCTACTTTGTGGATTTTTACCTATCGCAAGGGTGTCTGGAACATAACCTCCACCATAAGTGAGGGACTACTGCGAGTTATCCTGATTCATGCTCAATAATTCAGGTAGAAAAATCTAACAAAGTTACATAAGGTCCTCTGGACGGTTTCTTTTTATTGAAACATTTCGTCTTTCATCCAAACCAATTGAAAATGTTGAATACAAAGAATCCAGTTGTATTTGTAAAAGTTGGTATTTTACCTGGAGCTGGGTGTCTGCTGCTCCACACACCTTCTTGGACTCACATAGACGAGCCACCATACTCTCAGGCATTGGCTGATGAAACAAAGAACACTTTTATAAATCATGTAAACCCATTTCCTTCGATGTGAGATGAATGTTTATGAAAATGTTCATATATAAATACTAATTTTAGGTCTTTAGTCTTCATCTTGAGTATACCTTTCCACTTTCATAATGACGAGCAAACTGGCTAATGACTCGGTAGTCTGTGGCGAAGTACTCCATGAGGATGGAGGGGACTTCAGCAAAATCAGTTGCACATCTGGTTCCTAAAAAAGTAACAAAATAAATTAAAACTAATTCAAATATGTTTGACTTTATTCTTGTTTTGTGAGTTAATGCAGATATTTCATGTTAAACATGGTGCTGTGGAAGGAAGAAAAACCTGAAAAGAGAACAAAAAAATGTTGTTTTGATATATTTAGGATTAAGACTAAAGTATTTGGTAGGAATAAAAATAAGAACTAGAGAAACTGCATTTCCTGAAAAAATGCAGTGTGAATGCTTATTGCTGAAGAACTTGCTGAAAAACTGCTGAAAAATAGCTGAAATGAAAGAACAAGCCTAAGCTAGCAGAAGAAAACAGAAAGAACACATATTTACTAAATTAGGTTAAAATAAACAGAAATGAGCACAAAAATTAGTAAATTACCTAATAAAGCTGAAATTAGCAAAACATTTCTGAAAAGTAGCTGAAAAGGCAAAAAGTACCAGAAGTGGGGAGAGCACAATTGTGCTCAGTTAGGCTTGAAGAAGCAAAAATGAGCACAAAAAGTGGAACTTATCTGACAAAAGCATACATTTGTGGAAAAAAACCCAGCTGAATAGTAGCTACAAAAGCAGAAAGAAGTTGAAGTGACCAGAAGAAAGTGGAGAGAGCATATTTTTTGCTGAATTAGGCTGAAAAAGTTTAAATGAATGCAAAAAATGTGAAATTAGCTGAAAAAGCTAAAATTAGCATAAAACAGCTAAATATCAGCTGAAATAACTGAAAAGAGCAGAAATAAGCTGAAAGGAGCATAAGCTGAAATTAGCAGAAAGAAGTTAGAAGAAGCACAAAAATGTTTTAGTTAGCAGAGAGAATCTGAAAGGAGCACAGAACAGCTGAAAGAACAGCTCATTAGCTGAAAGTAGCTGAAACAAAGTTTAAATTTGCACAAGGAAGCTGAAAGAAGCTGAAGCAGAACAAAACGTGAAAGGAGCAGTAAAAGGTTGTAAACAGATCTAAAGGTTTGAAGGATGTAAAATGAGCTCAGTTCATTTTCGATGAGGAAAAAATGTCAGAAAAGGCTAAATATTTCAAAAAGCTAAAGTTGAACCAATACCAAAGTCATTGCACCCTTCTCCTGAACGGGCTGAACATTCTGATTTATGATTTGTTGAAATAGCCCAAAAATTGTGGAACGAGAAAGATGCCGACAAATGTACGGAAGAAAAACGGATAACATGCACATGCACGCTTTATGGGCATTCACACAATAATGTTTCACGAGGGGAGATACAACAGACTTACTATTTCTATTTCAGCTTTCATAGTTTCAATTTCAGAAGCATTTCAGAGCCATGTAAACATGGTGTCCACTGAAGAAACAGGCTCCAGTTGTAGTAAAGGATACGTTTATTGGGCTTAAATACATTAGTGATCTTGAATTACCGGGCCTTCGTCTATTTCTTTGGCCACATGAAACAATATCAAATGGCAGCTTTAACAGTCTAAACCTTTCCTTAGGGCTCACACTTGATCGGATTTACCTTCCGTTTAAAGTCACTACCCTGTAACCTAAAACCTTCAGCTCTGTATCGGACAACGTAACTCAAAACTTGTGACAATTGGGACAACATAGCCACCTTTGAAAGGAAAAAACCCTCCTGAAATGTCAAACACGAATAACTTTCCACGCTGTGGGTTATTGCTTCAATAAATCGTGTTTTCCCAAAGTAGACCAAAATTTAAGCTGTACAAGTTTCAGCTTTGTTACTAGTGTGTGTGTGTGTGCGTGTGCGCGCCACCTGTCACATGCTGGTAGTGAGTACGTCCCAGCATGGAGTGCATGGCGTGTCCCATTTCATGGAATAGGTTTTCCATCATGCCTGGAGTGAGCAGGGTGGGGGCGCTCTTTGTGGGGTGAGGCAGGCTAAGCATCAGCACCACGACGGGCAACTGGTACTGGCCCGTCTCCTGAGACCAGCAACCACCACGAATGGTGAAGTGACAGTCCTGGGAGAAAAAGAGGGAGAGACGGCTAAAACAGAAGCAACTCAAGCATTGAAGGATGGTTACAAACATAACTTTTCTAAATGTTTGACCTGATAATAATAAAATTTTCATTTAGTACCTCGAACCAAATGATGCAAAACTAGTTCACTTAGTTTGCTTTATTTTATGCAAAAGAGTCTACCTGTTAAAACATATCTGTGAGTGGCAAAGAGCCTGAGCCTCTGGCTAAAGCTAATTACGAACAAGGACTGGAGTCAGGAGTTTTTTAGTTTTTTATAAATGGGATTAAACTCAGCAGTGAGTGCATGCTCTACTATTTTATTTCCTCACTAAGAAGGTAATGGATTTTGATAGCGGTGAAGGACAGATGGGACTTTGACAAACCCAAAACAGGCAGTTAAGTTACTAACCAAATAGAAAAAGTTGCGAAAAGCATCTGTGAAGAGTTTGGACATCATGCATCCAAAGACACATTTCACCAGGAGTTACTGATGAACTCAGAATGTAATACTGGACAGTTTCTCAGCAACCTTTCTCACACTGGCTGACATTAATGTTCATTAATCCAGTTTTCATACAGAACATCAAACACCACTTCCTCTTTGCAGACCTACCCCTGCTTGGTACGACTACAGAAAGAGATTGAACACTCTTGTGGAAGCTGTGGCTGAGTGGTTACAGCAGTCGTCCTCCAGTGGGACAGTTGGGGGTTCGATTCCACAAGCAGTCATATGCTGAAGTGTCCCTGGGTAAGACACTGAACCCCTCATTGCCTCCGATGTGTGTCCAATCAGTGCATGGATGTGATAAAGCTCTGATTATTATTTGTACAGATCTAGTAGAGTGCTGTATGAATGGGTAAATGAGGGCACAGATTGCGCTGTAAAGAGCTTGAGTATCTAGATAAGATAGAAAGGTGCTATACAAGTACAGTCCATTTACCATTTACTCTTCAAAAACAACACCACATGTCTGCTATTTGCCAAAGATCATGTGAACAAGAAAGCTGATATAGTTTTATTAAATATTTTTTTCAATTTGTTAATTTGTTAATCTGTGTGTTTGCATACTAAGCTTTGATCTGTAAGTGATAGAGTAAATGTGTATCTGCAGGTATATATTGATGTACGTGTATGTAGCTATGCATGCATACACAAGACTTTCAAAAGAAAGATTCACCAATTTGATCAGCTTTAATAAACAGGTGAGCAAGTAATTTATCTGAGTTCTGTTTTTCCTTATGTTGACGGAGGACCTTTGACAGCAAGTCATCCATCCATCCATTATCTTTTACCCACTTCGTCCTTGTTTCTTAATTTAGAAACAAACAAAAATAATTTAAATGTGCATAAACTTCTACCCCCCACTGACTGACTAACACTGGTCAGTTGTAGTGTGGCTTAATTAAGTTGTATTTTGCAATCATTCTTATGAATTAATTGTAATTTGTGGAAAAAATACATACTTTTGAAATTAGTTAAATAAATGTTAGCTCAAAAGTGAAAGTAAGAAAGAAAAACATCAACAAAAAAATGTGAACTAAAGAAATTGCATTTCCTGCAAAAATGTAGAGTGGATGCTTATTGGTGAAGAACTTGCTGAAAAACAGCTGAAATTAGCTTAAAAAAAAATAATCTGAAGTGTAGCTGAAATGGAAGAACAAGCCAAAGTTAGCAGAGGAATGCAGAAAGAACATATATTTGCTGAATTAGGTTTAAATTAGCAGAAATTAGCAGAAAATTAGGAAAGTAGCTAAAAAAGCAGAAATTAGCAACAAAAAATAGCTGAAAAGTAGCTGAAATGCAAAAATGAGCTTAAAATACCAGAATGAATTAAAAGAGCTGGAATGAGCTCAAAAAATGTGGAATTAGCAGAAAAGGCTAAAATTAGCATCAAAAGAGCTAAATAGTAGCTGAAAGAGCAGAAAAAGCTGAAAGGAACAAAACAATCTGAAATTAGCAAAAATAAGTTAATTAGGCCGAAAGTAACAGAAATTACCACGAAAAACATGGAATTTATCTGAAAACAGCTGAAATTAGCTAAAATTGGTAGTTGAAAAGGTAGAACAAGATTGAATTAGCAGAAGAAAGCAGATAGGACATGTTTGCCCAATTAAGCTTAAAGACGCAGAAATTAGCACAAAAAAGTAGAAATGGTCTGAAGAGCTGAAAAGTAGCAAAAAACAGCAGAAAGAAGCTTAAATTAGCAGAAGTGGCGAGAGCACATTTTTGCTGAATTAGGCTGAAAAACTTTTAAATTAGAGCAACAAATCTGGAATTAGCTGAAAAAGCTCAAATTAACATCAAAACAGCTTAAATAGCTGAAATAGCTGAAATAGTGCAAAAAGCTGAAATTTGAAGAAATAACCAGAGAGGATGTTGTAGTTAACAGAAAGAACCTGAAAGAAGCACAAAACAGCTGAAAGAACAGCTGAAATTAGATGAAAGTAGCTGTAAAAAAGTTTAAATTTGCAAAAGGAAGCTGAAAGAAGCTGAAGCAGAACAAAATGTGAAAGAAGCAGCAACAGTTGTAAAAATATCTAAAGATTAGAAGGATGTAAAACGAGCTCAATTCATTTTTTATGAGAGAAAAATAAAAGGCAAAAAAGGCTAAATATTTCTAAAAGCTAAATTTGCACCAACACCAAAAGTCATAGCGGGATTGTCCTGAAAGAGCTGAACGTTTTGAAATATGAATTGTTAAAAGAGCACAAAAATCACGGAACGAGAAAAATGTACGGAAGAAAAATGGATCACAATAGTGTGAATGCTTTACAAGAATTCACACTATTACTTTTAGTGTCACTGACTAAAATGATCAAGTCCATACGCACCTGATGAGGTTTATCTTGCCGGTGGAAAAAGTCACAGTAGATATATCCCAATAATCCATCCGTGTCGTGCACCACAGCCTTAATACAGACACATAAAGATTTAATCATAAAGAACTGACGGTATCTAAAAATACTGACCTTTGAAAAAAGACTTTGGTTTGAAACGGGATAAAAATGTACTTTGCTACCCCCACAGTGGTACTGGAAACCAATAATTATTGACCCAAGACTTTATTCACCAGTTTGCGAACATCTTCGCTCCACACTTCTCCAGCTCCTGGATGCTCAGACATGAGGGAGACACCGTACAGCTGAGAGAAAACGTTGTTCAAACCTTCCATACATGCGCCGAGAGACAAGTAGGGACTGTACAAACTGGGCTCTATGTTGTACCTGGAGTGAGCAAAAGACAAATCAGAATGATGGAAATTAAACCAGCAGGTAGGTTTTTTTTTTTTTTTAGATAAATCCAAATATTTTTCCTCCTAAAGGAAGACTAATTTATACTTATAAGATATATGCTAAACACTAATAATGTAGAACAATACAGCGTAACAACAGCAGCCCGTAACTGCTTAAAATACCAAAAAATTACCATGCTCAATAATCCAGGTATACAATCCTACAGTTTACAGTCAGGTCATCTGGACAGTTTCTTTTTTTTCTCTGAAACGTTTCACCTTCCATCCAGAAGGCTTCTTCAGTAAAAAAGAAACTGTCCAGATGACATGACTGAAAATTGTTGGATTGTATACCTGGATTATTGAGCATGGTAATTTTTGGTTTTGAACCAGTTTGACATGACTGTCGACGAGGAAGAGGGCCGGCACCGGAGGAGGGGGCGTGCCAAAGACACCATCTTAGCACCTACATAATTGGTTTGTTCCACTTTAGAGTAAGCTGTTGGGGGAAGAATCAGTTTTGTGTTGTGTGTTTCCTTGACTGAAGAAGCCTTCTGGATGGAAAGTGAAACGTTTCAAAAAAAAAAAAAAACTGTCCAGATGACATGACTGAAAATTGTTGGATGCTTAAAATACCGTAACTTAAAAATACAACGAGAGAAATGTTTGATACGTAACCATGTTACACTCATCATGTTTCAAACCATTGGTGCCAAACTGTCAAAATAACAGTGATAAAAATGTCAAAAAGACTGTCCAATTTATTTTAATATATATATATTTTTAAGTCTTCTCTTTGTACAACAACTAAGAATTGAGGCGCATGAGGGCAGTGGCAATGGACATACTGGAGCAGGTGTGAGGGGTGTGGGTGAATGCCGAGCTAACCAGGCTGTCGTACACGGGCAGAAGCCCATAGCCAGCCGCCATGAACAACCTGAGGAGGAGCCAGGGGGTTTCACAAGCGGAGGAGGACAAAAGTGAGGAGGACAGTGAATTCAGCAGAGTCTGGCTCTGAACCGTCAAGTGAGGAATGTCCAACAATCTGAACAGCTGCCCAGTTCAAGTCCAAGCAGACCTACTATCCATGGCTTGTAATGAAAAAAATCAGTTTTTTTCTAGGCTATGATGCTTGACACAAACAGAGCGTGCTCTATTCACACAAGGAGAGCTGTTGGTCAGGCTATTTCTGGTTGCTCTCTAAAATAGTTATTGAATGAAGTGTTTGCAAATGTAGGTAAAACTAGATATTTATCAATCTGTTAAAATACACCAGAATACAGGAAATGGCATCTACTTTATTCAAAATTTTCTGGGGGAGAACCCCCAAACTGAGACCCCCACCCTGCTATTTGTGTTCCGGCATTGTTTGGCTTACAAATTAAGCCCTGTCGAACACCACGTCTGTGAATTCATCTGTATCAGTGATGAATAACAGACTGCAGCTGAAGTCTGCTCTAATCAGCAACTCCAAAAATATCTTCTCGTGTGCATTATTGTCTGATTTTCATCAATTTAAAAAAGACATAAGGAAAAATAATTAACGTTAAATCTAAAATAAATTCCATCACTCAATCGATGGTGTCAGATTGCACGGTGAAGCAGCTCCCATGCTTCTGCTGCAACACCTTCAGTAATAAAAGACACCTGAGGAGGAGTGAGGCTGCAAAAACAACTGGCTCTTCCCAACAACATGAGCGTATATTCATCTAGATCCAGAGGAAAATTAGATAAACATGACTTATTGAATGACAGCAGGCTGGAAAAACAAGATTCAGAGGAACAAAATTTGTACCTTTCAGCACGCAAGACACCACTGAGGAATGGATGATCCCAGGGCATGAGCTCCTGTTGAAAAACAGAGGGCTTAATTCACATTTTACACAATTTCAAACTAGCCGAGCTCACCCTAAACAGAATTAAAGTAATTCACGTGAAACACACTGATTTAAACCTTGAACATAATACTTTTAAGAACACATTGGAGGGCATGGTTTTATTTTTGCCAGGATCAAAAATAATAACCGTGTAGCAGTGGGATATACAAGAATGGCTTGTAAAGAAAACTCACTGAATTACGAGGGTTGAGTTTTTTCTTCATGTCTTTCATCATCTGAAAATCTTTTGCTGTTCTGAGATAAAAGGGGAAAAAAAAAAGAAAAGTTATGAGCTAAGTGACTGGAGGCATTAATTCCTGGCTGTGTGCACCTCTTTCTGCTCAGGGTCAACAGGGGCCAGAACCTATCACAGCATGCATTTGGCTGAAGGCAGGGAAACACCCTGGACTGACTGCCAGGCTAACAAGCTCACAATCATTCCTGTGGGTAATTTAGAGTCTCCTGGTCCACCTGACATACAAAGTTCTGGACCGTTTCAGTAATCCACCACACAAAGAATACAGTTGCATAAAATGGGAACACAAAACGCCCGAGGCTTTCTTAATGTGAATCACTGGTGATAAAATCCACGTCGATACGTCCTGTGTAGATCTACAAACGCCTGGATTTTAAAGAACAGACATTTTCAGCAGCTCACTGTGTTATTAGCTATGAAGGCATGAACCTGATAGCAACATAAAGATTTATACAATAGCATTTGAGGAAAAAACACTTGAAAAATTTAAAGGCTGCAGCTATTGTTGTTATTCATTCAACCTTTATTTATACAGGTTAGTCTCATTGAGCCTCCACGACTCATTTACAAGAGAGACCTGAATTAAGATCATAATGATTGTGTGAATGTTTATGAAACGTTCACACAATTGTGATCCATTTTTCTTCCGTACATTTTTCGACATGATTCTCGTCCTGCAGTTTTCAAGCTATTTCAACAAATTATAAATCAAAATGTTCAGCTCGTTCAGGAGAGGGGTGCAATGACTTTTGGTATTGGTGCAACTTTAGCTTTTTGAAATATTTAGTCTTTGCTGACATTTTTTTCTCATAGAAAATGAATTGAGCTCATTTTACACCCTTTCAGATCCGTTTTCAACCTTTTACTGCTCCTTTCACATTTTGTTCTGCTTCTTTCAGCTTCCTTGTGCAAATTTAAACTTTGTTTCAGCTACTTTCAGCTGTTCTTTCAGCTGTTTTGTTCTCCTTTCAGATTCTTTCTGCTAACTACAACATTTTTGTGCTTCTTCTAACTTCTTTCTGCTAATTTCAGGTTATTATGCTCCTTTCAGCTGATTTCTGCTAGTTTCAGTTATTTCAGCTGATATTTAGCTGTTTTTATGCTAATTTTAGCTTTTTCAGCCAATTTCACATTTTTTGCACTCATTTAAACATTTTTCAGCCTAGTTCAGCAAAACATTTGCTCTCTCCACTTCCTTCTGGTTATTAAAGCTCTTTCAGCTTTTTTAGATACTTTTCAACTGTTTATTTTTTTGCTTATTTCAGCTATTTCAGATAATTTCCAATTATTTGTGTTTGTTTCTGCTTCCTAATTGGGCAAACATGTTCTTTCTGCTTTCTTCTGCTAATCTAAGCTTTTTCTACCTTTTCAGCTACCTTTTTAGCATTTTGCTTTTAGCTAATTTCAGCTGTTTTCAGATAAATTACAAGTTTTTGTGGTAATTTTTGCTACTTTCAGCCTAATTAACTACTTTCTGCTAATTTCAGCTTGTTATGCTCCTTTCCGCTTTTACTACTATTTCAGATACTATTTAGCTGTTTTATGCTAATTTCAGCTTTTTCAGCTAATTCCACATTTTTTACACTAATTTTAGCTCAAACCACTTCCTTCTGGTAGTTTAAGCTTATTTCTGCAATTTGAGCTACTTTTTATCCATTGTTTTCTGCTAATTTCTGCTTATTTAAACCAAATTCAGCAATTGTGTGTTCCTTCTGCTTTATTCTGTTAATATAGGCTTGTTCTTAATTTCAGGTACATTTCAGCATGTTTTTTTTAGCAAGTTCTTCAGCAATTAGCACTCACACTGCATTTTCGCAGGAAATGCTATTTTTCTAGTTAACTTTGGTCTTGGACCTGCTAAGATTAGCTTTAAGCTTGTCCATCTGGTCAGAAATACAATCTTGCATCAAACTAAGGTTGTTTAAAAAGCCAGCTACTACACATAAAATATTAATTTTACATAATCTTTCCACAAAACCCAAATCCAAAAGATCTGAACTACCCCTTTAAAATCTATAACAATCACAGAAAAGTGGACCATACCGATGCGACAGCTTGTCTGTTAACAGCTGCAGGAAGCTCATCACTGTCTCTGCAGGGGTTGAGAAGGAAAAAACAGCATCAGCACTCTGGGACTCGTACAGAAAGAACATCTCTGTGACCTGCTCTGTGGAGCCAAGACTAATTATTTTCAAACTCACAAAGTATCACATAACAAAAGCTAAAAATCAACCTGGTGTTTTGGCCATGGTTCCCTTTAGAGCCCTGTGTCCGTACGACTCGTAGCCCACTAGTTTGGCTAGTTTGTATCTGCATTTCAGCAGCTCCTCTAGGCACTCCATCAGATCTGCATTAGGATAGAGGTAAATCCTGTATGCAATCTCACGAAGCTACATGGTGGAAAGAGAACAACAAAGTTTATTTCAAACAAGGCTGCAAAGACAATCAGTAACGACATTTATTCTTAAATGTTGGTTAAAATATCGTCACTTTCCTTCCTTTCTTTCCAAATGTAAATACTTTCCAACAAATGAATTATATTATTGCTGGTTGATAGAGGAATAAGAAGTGAAGATGAATCACTTTTAAAAAGAGCATTTCTAAATGAGTTCACTCAAAACTAAATCCACCTGCATAGTCTGAGGTGTAACAAGGGCACCACCTGCTGTATGACGGAGTAGTTTCAGTACAGACGTACCAGATCATCAGGGGAATCTGCATGTAGTCCCCCGACTTGAAAGAAGCTTCCCTCACTTGCAAAGTGCACGTGTAGATGGTTGGGAATCACAGACTTTGAGATTCTGTTTGGCATGTGGGAGCCAATCAGGAACTCGTTGTTCAGGTCCAGCAGCTTTACATGAAGGCCAACAGCCTCTTTCCTCTGCAGGGGTAAAGGGACACATAAGTGCACGTGTTACACAGCAAGAACTTGGAATTATTGAGGGGTTGTGTGTGAGTATTTTTCAAAATAATTTTATTTTTACTCACCAGTTTGTCATCCAGATGAATTCCACTGATCTCAAAGTCGAACATGAACAACTCTGCCACTCGCCTGAAAAGACCAGCACATCAAATCTAAACCTTCTCTTGATTTGACATTACACCTCGCCGTTCAACTTTTGTGGACTCGCAATAATAAAAATTGTAGTTTTGTCAAAATATCTTCCTGATCCTATCATGCAGCTGATTTTTGCAATTTTCAGGCAGGCGGGTTTCAGAAGTTGTCCTCCAATATTGTGCAGATTTTTAACCTTAGTGATTAAAAGGAAGCACTCAAAAGATGCTTCTGTGGCTCTGTGCAAACCACTGCCCCCTCTTTCAAAGGCTTTTCTCATGTCAGGGGACCTTTTTGACAACTGCTTCTGAACGTATTCCCGACTTTCATCACCAATAATAATAATAATGATGTCTGTTCTAAACTAGGGGAAAATGTACTTGTGTTGTCAGAAAAATGACTCTGTGCATTTTTACACATTAACAACTGCATGTGCTTATGTTTATGTTATATATTTAATAAAATGTGAGCTTAACCAAGACCTCATCCTGCGTCTTCTCAACTGAGAGCACAGTACTGACGTCATAACGAAGTGCTCTTAAAGTGACAGTACAGATTTGTAGGTTTTAACATAACACGTTATACCCTCACAAAGCAACCGGCCCAGACAACATCCCTGGGAAAGTGTTGAAGGAATGTGCCGATCAGCTCTGTGAGGTGCTGGCAGACATCTTTAACTCCTCCCTTACCCTGGCAACAGTTCCCACCTGCCTGAAGACTGCCACCATCATCCCAGTCCCAAAAAGCTCTACAGTGACTGGTCTGAATGACTATCGGCCAGTGGCCCTCACCCCGATAGTCGCTAAATGCTTCGAAAAACTGGTCATGACTCACATCAAAACTACCATCAACATCAACGAGGACCCTCATCAGTACGCATACCGTGAGAACCGATCAACAGAGGACGCAATCTCCTCTGTGGTCCACACTGCGCTCAACCACCTGGAGCAGAAGGACTCCTACGTCCGTATGCTCTTTGTGGACTTCACATCCGCCTTCAACACCATGATCCCCCAAACCCTGATGGACAAACTATCCACACTAGGACTAAGCCCCTCCATTTGCAACTGGGTCCTAGACTTCTTAACAAACAGTATTTTTAATGCATACAATCCAATCTATCAACAGGAGCTTTTAGAACATTGCCTTTGCTTTGATTTGTTGGTTGGTGCACATTTTAACAATCAGATAAGGTGCGGGTCAACATGTTCTTTTCTCATCTACACGTTCCCCTCTGGGTTGTGTTGGTGTTCTTTTCACTCTTTGGTTTGTTCTACATGAACAAATTATATTACAACTGTCAAGATGGACGCCACATTATTATTTTCTCAGGTCTCTCTTGTAAACGAGTCCTCGAGGCTCAATGGGATTAACCTGTCTAAATAAAGGTTGAATGAATTTTACGTTGCAGATTATTCTGTTGTTGAACGTGCCCTTCGCAGCGATGACTCACAGCGTGGGTCTTTACTGAACGAATGTGTCACTACACTCAATTATCAGAGTCAGAGTTTTTTATTGTATACACATTAAATATTGATTATAAACATTTACGCCACCATTAATTTCACATTCCACAGTTTTTCCTGCAAAAATATGATATTCCTGTAGGAAAAAGCCCAGGCTGCCCCAGACATATTGAACGATGAGAAGTTTGAACAATTTGCTACAAAAAGTTTTAGGCTGGAGTTGATTTAATGCAGTAATCAACTTTGGTCTTGACCCCACCCAGATTAGCTTTTAGCTTGTCCATCTGGTCAGAAATAAAACCTTTTTTAAACTGAGGTCTTTAAAAATAACAATCTATAACACAAAAAATATAAACTGTTCATAAAACTTTCTATAAAATGCCACATCAAAAGATCTGAACTATCCCTTTAAGTCTATAATATTCACCGACATGTGGACCGTACCGATCTGACAGCTTTGCTAACAGCTGCAGGAAGCTCATCACTGTCTCTGCAGGGGTTGATGAGCAGTCATGACTGAGAGCATGGGCCTTTAGTTATCGTTTCTTCGTTAATCTCTCTTTCTGAAGACACTGGATGATAAAAAGCTCAACTCCACTGTTCTTCACTGACCCCTCCCTTTCTCTTTTGTCGTTAAAATTCATTTGAACCGTCCAAAGTTAAAAGCAGCTAAGCTGAGAAGCTAAGCTACAAGCTAAGCTAACAGGCTGACCTCAGGGAAAAAAACTTCCATCTTGTCAAAGCTCCAAAATTCATGGTTGAAACTCGTGCCTTCATGTAAAAAAACTTCTGCAAAAATAAGTTGAGAACTTGTTTACTGATTTTTTAATTAAAAGCTTCATGTGACAAATGCTATGTTAAAGAGCTCAAACCACACTGAGCGTCCACCATTTTGAGAACCAAAGAGAGACAGCACATGTCACGTCAAGGGGCCTCCCTCCCATTTTTTTTAAGAGACACGCTGCTTGCTCCCTCACTAGCCATTCTTCAATTCAGTCTTATACTGCCATCTGGTGGTTGAAAAAAGGGACTACATGCAAAACAAATTAAACGTTTCTTCTTAACTTTGACAATTATTGTTAATTATTGTCAAATTTCAAACAATATTATCGTTTATCGCAATCATTTCTGAGACAATTAATCGTCCAGCAAAATTTGTTATCGTGACAGGCCTAGTGAATGACTGTGCTTGTCTGTGTGATTCATTGTTTTTAACCATCCGTGGCCAAAACTAAAAAATTAGTAGTCAGAGGTTTTTTGTCATCCCCTCTCTTTTTTATTACAAACAATTGGGCTAAAATATGGACAGAAAACATGAAAAAGTGGTCAAAGTCCAAAGAAAACCCTTGAAAGACCTACAGAAAAAGATGACTTCTTTAATAAATTACAAGTCTGCCTCATTGAGTTAAAATGTGAAGAATTGAGTGTGAAGAAGCAAAGTTAAATAAACTGCATAAATACTGAAAAATAAAAACCTTACCTTGTGTCAGGGTCCAGCTGAGCCACAGCCTTTGGGTTGTCCAGCAAATTCTTCAGGCTTCTGCACAATTCAACATTGGTGTTCAGTCTGAAACACAAAAAAAACAGCTAATTTAAACATCTACTTTAAGACATGAAGCATGCTGGGAAATCTCTTCACTAACACTCAACATGAGTATTGCTGCTCAGCCACAAAATACATTTAGAAAAGAGAAATAAAGACACACAAGGCCTCTTACTTCTCCACAACGGTGCCAATCTCTATGCAGGCCTTCTCTGCAGCCTCGCGGTACTCTGGGTCTGGATGAGCCACTTTAATAAAGTCAGCCTGCATGAAACAATAACAATAATTCAACAAAGAGCAGAACATGTTCATGTGACAAGTGTTGCAGCTAGACAGCAAACACTACATCATGTCTCTTTGCTGCTGCAAACTTTACCGTTAGCCAAACAGTGGTGGATATAACCAAAATAAATATTTTAATATTATACTAGCCCTGTAGGCATTATTCCTGCCCAGACAGATGAGTTTACAATAAATATCAGCAGCACTGAAAGTTGCTGTAAAGCTTCAGTCCAACCAAAGTTGATTTCTTGACTTACACCTTTGTAAATACCACTCTGCAAACTTTGATATGAAGCCTGACTCACCAGATCAGCTACTTTACACAGACCATCAGAGAGCTGGTCAAAACACTGGACAGTCTCCACACCTGGAGGGGAAGAACAAGCTCTCTCCAGCAGGTGCTCTGTGCTCTGCAGGGCTGCCCTTGTTGCTACCTGGAAACCTGCAGGACAGGTGAGTTCAGGGACTCCAAACAACCCCTGTAACCACGGGCCACACAAAAGTACAGAATGAAAATTACGTTACATACTATAACCAAAAATAAAGCAGCATTTGTATTTTATTTGTTTAAATTAGAAGAGTGTGGTGTGGTTAAATATTGTACGAACCACGTTTTTCTCAAAAAGCTCCAGGCTCCTGTGGGGTTTGGTATTAAAAGCAGCTCCAACAGGTGACCAGGTGTTGACATTTCTTCGAAGTGTCCACAGCAGGTTCCTGTGCTTTACGAGGTGAATGAGACCTTTACACGCAAACATCCTGCACTAACTGTGTCCTGACCGAGTTTACTTCTGCGGCATGTTGACGGAGGACATGCTAAACTGTAGCCTTAATGTTAGCCTGTTAGCAAAAGTTCTGAATGTTCGTACTCAGCCTGTTTAAATGACACATTTCAAGCTTTTCTTTGGATATAAAACATGCTTTTCAAGACACATGTGAAGAATGCTTGTCTTGATCTTTGTACCCTGCTAGCATGGTGGTACCTGGCTAATCAATGTAAATTGCAACGTCTGTACCTCGGAGCATTTTCGTGAAAGAGAAAAAGACCAATAGGTTAATTTAAAAAATATTAAAATTAAAAACGATGAAACTTTGTTAACATGCTTTTGTAAATACTGCACGTCTTTAGAACATATTTAAGTAATAACTGTACGTGAGTTGTGTCGAAAGTGCGAATGGCTAACTGAAACTATTTCGTCACGAAAAGGAAGGAAGTCCGCTTTTTTTTTTTTTACTTCACAATAAAGGCAGGTGTTTTTTAACCAAATGTTTTTGACATCGACATGAATACGTATGTATGTCTATGGACAGAACGATTTACAACTAAAATTACATTAAGAAAAATATGACTAGCCTCTACAAGCCCCCTGCAGATGTTGGACGCTATCATACCATACCATTTTATTTATAGAGCACTTAAAACAGGGACCAGGCCAACCAAAGTGCTGTACAGACAGAACAACAGGTAACACACAAAGCAATATACAAAATGAAGTAAATCAGAATATAGACATAAAAACGTTGCAGATAATAAATATAACTAACCAGTGTGGAGCATACAGGTTCAAAACGCAGATCATCTGGTGTTGAAAGCCACTGAATAGTAGTGAGTTTTTATACGGGATTTGAAAACCGAGAGGGAGGGGGCCTGTCTGACGAGCAGAGGTAACTCGTTCCAAAGTCTTGGTGCGCTAATATTCATAACTGGCTGTAACTACCATATCTACCACTGCACCCTGTATTCACTGGTTACCATTAACTTCATGTAGACTCTCACTGGTACATTTTCATCTTTAAATCACTTCTTGGTCTGTTGCCTTCATACATCTCCTTCTACATGTCTCTGCGTGAGTGCAGCTACAGCGTGCGCTCTCAGGACATTATTACATGCAGTGTTCCCTGTGTGGACTGAAGGGTCTTCTCCTACTCCGCTCCCGTTTCCTGGAATATCTTGCAAAAAGATCTGAAGCTCTCAACCTTGACCTCTCTAAGTGGCTTCAAACATCTGTTAAGTTCCTGGCAAGAATCAATGCAGACATTCAGTAGCTTTCAACACCAGATGATCTGTGTTTTGAACCTGTATGCTCCACACTGGTTTGTCGTCATTATCTGCATCGTTTTTATGTCTATATTCTGATTTACGTCACTTTGTATATTGCTTTGTGTGTTACCTGTTGTTCTGTCTGTACAGCACTTTGGTTGGCCTGGTCGCAGTTTTAAGTGCTCTATAAATAAAATGGTATGGTACATGTTCCTGTTTTTGGTATCGCTTTACAATCTAGCTGTTTTTGTTTTATTTAATACCATTGTCTTTCAAGTGTTTTTCTCATTTTATGTGCTTTCTTTTAGCGTAATTCTTTGTTAAAATCAGGTCTCTCTTGTAAATGAGTCCCCGAGCCGCAATGGGACTAACCTGTATAAAGGTTGAATGAATAAAATAGCCTTCTTGTAATTACGAGTGTGAAAAGCTGCACCTAACACTTTTGGGTCGCAGGTTCTGGATAAACACTCAGGTTACGCAGGAAACGCCATTCTAATTAAATCATACACCGTTATAGATTCATGTTTTTGCTCGAAAGATTTGTGTTAAACTGCTTGCAGTATGATAAATGGTAGCATAAATATACACTCCCGTTTTGTTGTTATAAATAAGAAATCACTTTTTGTGAATGGGTTTTTTAGCATCTCATTACCTCACAGCGACTAGTCGACTTTTATCATGCTGAAGTCGACTTTTAAAAATATGAAGTCGTGCAACCCCTAGTATGTCTATACTGCATGAACCCTGACCCCTACCCATGATGCCCTGCATGCAGAAAACTAGAAAATGGCCTCATTATTCTAACAGCAGTCAGATTAAAAACTGGAAAACAAAATGCATTAATTATGTAATCCAACTTCCACTGGCTTTTCTGATTATGAGCAACTATCATTTACTTGTTTTATGAAATACATCAAACAATAGATGATTTTTTTCTTCATATGACAAGATGAACTACTGTATTCTTCTTGTGCAAAATCGACACAAAACACACTTTGAACTGACGTCTTTATTAACAGAAGAACTGGTTCATTGCACTCCAAGACCACATTGCATCAATAATATTCCTGCAAAATTGTTTATTAAAGATGTAGTATGAAAAACATTACGGGAAAAAAATATCAAGCAACTGTTTTCAGAAACCTAAAAAAAAAAAAAGTTTAAATCAACTCAGAAAAAAACTAATACTGAAAGCAGGTAACAAGACAAATAAAGGTCTTCCCAATATGAGAAATCATTACATTGTGCTTAAAGTACTAATGTACTTTGCAAAAACAAAAAGAGTACCAGTCTAGGACATATGGCAATTAAACGTAAAGAAAAAAGAACCCCTCAAACTTAAATAAACGCTTTGCTATTGACTGATCGTCCAGCTGTTCAATTTAATTCTCTATCGCATATTTACATCTGTTCACTACAAAACAATTTTAACATTAAAAATAAAGAAATGTGTGGGGAAGAGAGTTTTTGTTCATTTGGCTCACGTCATCTTCATACAGTCGAGCTCTGTGTGTGTGGATTTACATAGGAGTGCTGTAGTCGAGGATCATTTGTCCCAGTCGGCATGCTTGGACATGAGCCCGCCTGAAATCATCTCGTCCTTATCCCAGCTCAAAAACAACTGCACGTCTCGACACTACAGTAAACTTAGTTGACCCCTGAGTTTCTAATGCAAAACTAGTGTATTAAATACCTCATTACAGTGTTTCTTAGTGCAAGCCAGCAATATGCTTGATTTAACAGAGGTATATTAGATAGCACCCAAGCTGACAAGATTCCCCAGAACAGTTATTCTGCCGGCCGAATAACTACAAGCAGTCTGGTAGGTGGTGTTCTGCTCCGGGTCTTTATGAAAAAACAGCCGTTCTAATGCTTGAATTTGTAGAACATCTATAAACATGTTTTTTTTTTTTTTCATAGAAAATATAAATATCCCTGAATGAAATAGATTCACAGCATTTTATTCAGACTCCAGTGCTACTACCATCACATGTCCTGAACCTCACCAGTCAATGTCCACCTTTTCAAACAAGCCTGCAGCTGCCCCCCCCCCCCACTTCATTCACTGTCGTGATAATTTACCGTCCGTTTCCCGCGGTTTCGGGTGTTGATGCGTCTTTGTGGTTTGCTGCACAGCTCGTCGCTGTCCTCTTCCTCCGAGGCGACCCGGTGGCGCCGCGGCCTCAGCTGGCGGCTCTCGGCCCGCGTCCGTGCTCGACTTCTCTTTGGACTGCTGTTGGACCCTGAGCTGGCACATGATTTTTCAGAGGCAGAAGACAATCGCTCGCTTTCTGCGTCTGAACTGTTCTTGCTGCTGCAGCTTTTCTTTCTTTTAGGTTTAGGCTGCCTCGCGTTTTTCCTTGAACGGGCAACACTCTCCTCCTGACTGGAATCGGAGTGGGATGAAGAGTCACGCTCTCGTTTGGATTCCCTTTTGGAGTGCTTTAAGGAGCGTGACCTGCTGTTTTTATCGTTTACTGGCTCCTTCTCTCCATCCTCCTCCTCTGTGGTGTAAATCCGTTTCCTCTTGGTGGACGGCTGATTCCTTGCTTCAATGAGAGATGTTCTCTTAGACATCCTTGTAATACACTGGTCATCACTGGAGTCTGTGTCTCTCTTTTTACCATTTCTTTGTCTATGCTGGTTTGCTGAAGCAGACTCCTCCTCAGAAAGAGAGTTGTCTATGATGTATTTCTTTTTTGGTAGAGCTCGAAGGTTCAGCCGTCTGTTCGACGCATCGTCGGACATATCTGACTCTTCTTCCGATGATCCAGTGGAACGCTTCCTCCTCGACTTCTGCTGAGGTTTGTACTCTTGCTCTGAACTCTCTGAAGCTGATGTGTTGCAGCGAGGCCGTTTACTTTTATTTCTAGTCGGCCTCTTCGTTTCAAAGTCAGACCCATTTTTCACTCCTTTCTTGCGCGGGCTGGATCTCTTCGGTGAATCGCTGAGTTCATCTGATTTTGCACCTTTATTAGTTGAGGCAGGTTTTTGTTTGTCTTGGCTTTTTGATGGCAGAACTTTACTTTTTTTCTTAGAGTCCATGGGGAATGACTCTTTCACATTTTGTCCATTTTGGTGTAGGTTCTGAGAACTGTCCTCTTTATAGTCTTCATCTGAGCTTACAGGAGGTCTGCGTCGCGTGGCTTGGCCGCCCACGTCATCCTCCTCCTCGCTAACAATCCTGGTTTTCCTTCTTGAACTGGTTGCCGTGCTTCTCGAGACTTTCTGATCCTCCTCTTCTGCAGAACTGTCCTCTGGAGGTTCTTCTTGCTCCGAGCTGCTCTCAGACTTCCGATGTTTTCCACTGTGTCCATTAACATGGGACAAAGTGTCTACAAAAAAGGCAAAAACGTTCATTAGATGAGAACGACCTCAACTGCTTCCCTAGCAAAGTTAAAAAGAAAACTTGTAGAAGGACATTTCTTACCATTTCTTTTAGTCTTGGCAGTCTGCCACATTGTCTTCTGTTTTATGGACTTTGCATCTCCATTTTGTTTAATCTGGAAGGAGGATGAAACGTCACTGTTTTTGCCCTCATCCTGAGCCTTGGACTCATCGGATTCGTTGGCATCCTGAGAACCTAGAAAACAAAGCCAAAAAGGTATCATAAATACATCTGATCAAATAAATAAGTACCGTAAATGCCGGTGTACAAGCTGCTACTTTTTTTCTCACAATTTAGACTACATGGCTTATAAACTGGAGCGGTTAATAATGTATTTTTTTTAAAATAATTTTAATAATTTACATCTTTACATTTTGTTTCGACAGGCTTACTGCCATCATGGGCTTTTGTGACTGAGTGAATGCCTCAGGTAATCACATGTACCAAACCTCTTGCTCATTGTTTCAAATTCCCTACTATAGCTCCACCCACTCTGTCGTCACGTGACCAGAAGTCTAACCTTAATGACCAACGAGGTACTGTCATTGAGTTACAAGGACCCACCCCAAAAGATAGACGCGCATTAATTTCTTCAGAACAGTTACCGTATTTTACGCCTCATGCACAGACCTGTTCATCTGTTCAGCAATAACGAAAAATACAGAGAATTTCTTATGATGCAGCTTTCAAGTTACCGTAAAAGCCATCGATCTGGCTGTCGAAGGAGCAAACAGTCAGCTGCTGAAAGCAAGATGGAGGCAGTGCGTGATGATATTTTTCTGAGCCTCGAAGGGGACTTTAGTTCACACAAGGACGCAGAACATAGCAATGAGTGACTTTTTGTCGACTACCGGTACTTAAAAATATTTTTTTGCTGTGTTAATATGGAGAGCCATTTCATTCAAAATGAAAATAAATAAATAAACAGTGTTATTTAAAAATTATTAATAAATATTCCATTGAATAAATAAATATCATCATGAAATAAAACATTTAAATAGAAATGTTTAGTTTTTTTCCCACAATTTATTTTTAATTTCAATATTTATGTATTTAATAATGGAGTTTCATTTTGTGACACTTATTTTGTAAAGCTACTTTACATATTTCAGGGGCTTTTGTTTTTTAACCCCATTTCTCATTTTTAAGCACTTTTTATTTCATGTTCTTCGTGTTAAAAATGAAAAACTGCGTTTAAAAGTGTCATAAAATGAAACTCCATTATTAAATAAAAAAATCTTGAAATAAAAAATAAAAAAAATCTTGAAATAAATAAAAATAAATCTTGGGGAAAAAAACTAAACATTTCTATTTAAATGTTTTATTTCATGAGAACATTTATTTAATGGGATATTTATTCATATTTTTTAAATAACACTATTTATTTATTTAATATTGAATGAAATGGCTCTCCATACATTAAAGGCATTTAAAAAAATAATAAAATTTACCAGCTGTTCCCCACCTCCTGGTTCATGAGGGCTCTGCTGAGCAGAAGTCGTCAAAATTAATTTTTAAAGCAGTCAAGTCTGGCACATGTTTTAATAAACATTTTAAAACTCCTTCTGTGTGACATATTTTTGTGTATGGTAAATATGCATTTAAATACTGGTTTCTCATTTAAGCTTACATCCAAACGCATGAAACGGAGCAGAGACAGCGGGAGGGCTCTTCCCCCTCCGTCTCCTCACGCGAGCTCTGCTGAGCAGAAATCAGGTCAAATTTATTTAGAAAGTAAATTTAAAAACAGCAGCTGTTACCACAAGTGTTTAACAATAAAAATCAATTATACTAATGAATATTTGCTGTATTTTACCGATACTATTCGACTTCTGGTAACATGACCTCGATAAGACTTCTGAGTAATATTCACTGGTATATAATTTTTAAATAATTTTGGTTACGTAGGTGTTTGGCACTGTTCTGTCCAGTGACTATGCTTAGATAGTTCTTGTGTTAACTTTGTGGGTCAAATGATTTTAACAAAGGATGACTGAATTAATGAGTCAGACCTCGAAGCATCATGAAGACTTTTGACGATTACACAAGCCATAGTCTATGAAGCGCCACCCGGTGGCTGCTTCTTGTACTACAACAGCTGCACATAATGAAAGGAGCTGGGCACAGGTTGTGATAATGAAATGTGGACACCCGCAGCTTAAAACTGGTGCGTCTTATTTATGTATAAAAATATGTTTTATCTTAATTTAGTATGCGTGGTTTACAGTCAGGTGTGTTCTATAGCCCGGCAATTACGGTACACAAGAACATACATATTTGCCTACCTCTTGCTGACGTCTCTCCATCTGTGTCTGAGCTGCTCTGGATCACCGCACTGCGTTTGCTGATACGAGCCGTGTGGCGAATACGGCTGCTCGCCTCCTCCTCTTCAAAGTCTTCATCGGATGCCTCAAGAAGTTTCATCTTGTTAACGGCGGCCCTTGCCGTCTTTCTTTTGAGAGACCTGCGCATGCCGACCTCCTGTTCTCCATCTGAACTCTGAGATGCGACTCTGTCAGGGTCCCGGTGGGGACGCCTCTTTCGGCGCAATGTCCTGCTGCTGTGGCTGTTGGTTTCCGCTCTGCTCTCTGAACACATGCCGTAACATCCGAACGTGTCAGTGGACGTGTTCTGCTCAGGTTTGGAGGAGAACACAGTAAACAAGTTTTACCTGCTCTGGTTTTGTCTCCAGCAGCACAGTTTCTGGTCAGCCGTGTCCTCCTGCTTGGATAGAGACAATCTGAAGACTGAGAAGATGCCTCCCTGTCTTCCCCACCTTCACTCTCAGAATCCTCTTCCTCCTCTTCCTCTTCACTGTCAGTCTGAGCAGCTAGCCACAATGACACATTTCCAGACATTATTTTTAAAAGGCACAATTTAAGAATGCAACACTATATTCTTGGTGGGGTTTGTGTGCATACTTCCTTCCTGACCTTTTTTCCTCTGCTTGGAGCGATTGCTTCTTGTAACTCTTGCTTTTTGCCTGCTTCGATGAGGCTTTGAAGAACTTGGACATTTCTTCTCTTGGTCCGAATCATTGGGTTCACTCTCACTCCCAGACTCTAAAGAACCCAAAAAAAAAAAAAGCTGCTTCATATGATAAAAATTTAAATGTGCAAGTGGGACGAGGCACAGTAAGAACTTTATTCTCGTTCTACAATACCAGACTTCCATCCACCGTGATTAAGAATCTTTGTGACACGTTCATCAAACAAGTTAATTTTAGTGTCATGTCTCCAAAATGTAGAATTTATATCATCCGGATAATTACGTGCCATGAAAACTCAGTTTTAAATGTTTACAGCAGGCTGTTTCAGTGTTTGTAGCAAAGAAGAAAGAAATGTTGACGCCTGTGTCTCTTTCCAAAATAAGAAAACCTCTCTTCCGTTTCACTTTTTATAACGGGTAGCTTTTAAGTTGTAGCTTCTCATGTCCTAAAAACATCTAAAACTTTTTAGACTAGAAAGTGCCAACAGTGACATTTGTCTCAAATAACTTAATAAATTAAATGGCAGCCAAAGTTACTCTTCAAGTCATCTTGCAGCTAGTTATAAAATGTGCACTAAGTTTCTCCGTACCTGGTGTGGATGAGGCAGCTTTGGAGCAGGAGTCGTCCTCTGAGGAGCTGCGACCTGAGCTCCTGCCTCGACTCCGCCTGGCTCTCTCAGGAACCGACACTTTGGTTGAGGTAGATTTGGCTACTGATACTGACTCCAACTTTTCCTGAGTTTTGACCCTTTTTTGACTTGACAAACAAGAAAAATACCACACGTCAAAAAAAACATGGTTACATGTAAACGCATCAGACAGAAACTAATCAAAGAAACATGATTTGGTAGTGTGCCTAGGCCTTTCACGATAAATTTTGCTGTGCGATTAACTGTCTCAGAAATTATTGCGATAAACGATAATATTGTTTGTAATTTGACAATAATTTGTAATTATTGTCAATAATTAGTAATTATTGTCAAATTTAAGAAGAAATTATTAATTTTTGTTTGTAGTACCATTTTTGATCACTGGGTAGCAGTATAAGCCTGAAGTGAAGGATGGATAGTGAGGGAGCGAGCAGCATATCTCTAAGAAAAATGGGAGGGAGGCCCCTTGACGTGACATGGGCTGTCTCTCCTTTGTTTCGGTTCTCAAAATGGCGGACGCTTGGTGTGGTTTGAGCTCTTTAGCATCGCATTGGTCACACAAAGCTTTTAATTACATTTTTTTTTAAAAACAGTACAAGTTCTCATCTTCTTTTTTCAAAGAAAAAACTTTTTACATGAATGCACAGATTTCAACGGTGAATTTTAGAGCTCAACAAGACGGAGTTTTTTTTTTCCCTCGAGGTCGGCCTGTTGGCTTAGCTTGTAGCTTAGCTTCTCAGCTTAGCTGCTTTTAACAATCTAAAAACATGATTTTGGACGATTAAAACAGATTTTAAAGAATAGAGAGAAGAGAAAGGGAGGGGTCAGTGAAGAGCTCCAGAGTTGAGCCTTTTGTCATCCAGTGTCTTCAGTAGAAAGAGAGAGACGAAAAAAACAATAAAACAGATAAATGAAAATGAGGTTAATAATTTTCATTTATCATGCGATTAATTGATTTATTGATTATTGCGAAAGGCTAAGTGTGCAATCTGTTGCGCAACAGAGAGAAAAAAACAAGTTGCAGCAAGAAAGTGTGAAAATCAAGAGAAACTTCAGAGCGTTTGGAGTGCAGACAGAGAGATGAGGGAAACTAGCAGACCTTGTAGTGGCAGAGGGCTGGTCCTGCTGTGCTTTCTTGCGAAACCTCTGACTGCGGCGGAGCCGCTCGCTGCTTTTGATAGCAGTTTTGTACTCCGATATGATTGTTCTGATCTGCTCCTCAAAGAAGGCAGACAGCCTCAAGGTCATACTGTAAATCTGGAAAAGATGAAGAACAATGCATCAGATCCTAAAAGATTTTTTAAAAAGCTGCTGATGCCTCAGAACATTCTCAAATGTTAAGCCGGGGGAGATTTTCAACAGAATTTAACGTTCCCTGTAAAACTGCGTGTAGCCCCTACCTTGGAACGTTTGTTGGGTGTGTAGGCTTTAGCATTGGCAAATATTAAGCGTGTGTCTTTGCACAGCTCTACAGGGTTTTCATAGTGATCGTCCTCCAGGGTCCTTTTCACTGTGCCGAAGTCCATTGGTGTATCAATAATGTCGAAGTAGTCCTAAATATGCACACAAAACACAACAGACCAGATTAACATTGTTCATGGCTCAAAACAAACTTGTAGCTGTTTAATCACGTGGACTCTGCTGCTGTGTTAACTTACGGGATAGTTCTCAGGATCCACAGGCTGTCTGAAAGGCTCCGAGTCCTCGCAGTCAAATATATAGTTGAGCAGATTCTTACACTGTTCTTTCCAGGCGTCTCTGTCTGGCAGCACCTCTACAGAGTGCTGCAGATACAGCGAACAAAGTAAATGAACGTTAAAATGGTTTTTATTTCCAGTTCCTCTTACAAAAACATCTATAGTCTTATGTAGGGATGCACAATATTGGATTTTTGGCCGATATCCAATACCTATTTTTTTTTTCCTAGACCTACTTACAGAGACTACATAACTTTCTCTGCTGTGGAATTAAAATACATTATTCTGCATGGTCTTTGTCAATTTGGTCTGCTACCAAATACAGATGCCAAAAAGGAGGAAGAAAATGATGCAACACTATATAAATATACAATCTATATAAATATATATATTTTTTTAAACAGTGCCTTTTATATCGGTGAGTTATTTTGATGGAATGGCTGATGTCCGATATTTAACTTTAGCACTAATATCGGCTGATACCGATACTATGCCGATAATATCATGCATCCCTAGTCTTATGGAGTGACAATGTAGGCTACATAAAAAAAAAAAAAAAAAAAGTTAAAAACTGGATTTTTATTTAATGTCAGAATTCTTCAGATGTATTTTAGGGTTTTATCCATTTCTGCTCACCTGACGTAGTCTGTGTCCAGACGACGTTCCCGGTGCTTCTGTATCTTCTTCCTAAAAGAAGAATCAAATTCAGAGTTTTTTAAATGCCAATCAGTAATAATATAATCATTTTCTAATAGATGGAAAAGATCCAAAACAAAACACACGCTTGCTTGGAGAGGAGCCATATTACAAAACTATTTTTATACAGATCACAATATAAAAATTGATATAAAATCACTGTATGTTCAGCTAAATTCACATTCCACATCATCAGCCACAGAATGTCTCCTTGTTTCCTCTCTTGTACATAGAGTCCTTTACAGACTGCAAATTCATTGAAACTTGAAGAAAAAGTTGCCTAAGAGTCAGATCCAGACTTGCCTCATCGTAATCATCCATTTCCTCCACAGCACTGTAAATCTCCATGAGATCTGTGCACCTCAGATTACTGCTGGAGGAGGGGAGACAGGTCAGTGTAAAATATGGAAACTTATGAAATGGTATGTTCACTGTCAAATATAACCAAATCATAAAATAAGCATTCAGTAACACTTGCTTGACAAATTTCTGGAGGGCATTCGAGATGATTTTTGCAGAGTGGGCAATCTTGCTTCTTGGCTCGTTAAAAGTACGAGCGTTATGTGCGATATATCTGGCATCCCAAATTAATGCAGAGAGGCGTCTGTGAAGCATAAAATATCAGTGTTTGCCTCAAAGTAGAAAATGTTAAGATGTTTTAAAGACACCCCCCAAAAACACGACCCACTTAGATGAAAACCCACTAAAGAAACTGACCTGTAGAATCTGTTCATCAGGCGCAGCTTGATGGTGCCCAGGTCTGTGGGATAGGCAATCACAGTGCAGTAGGTGGGATACTGGACCAAGTCCACGGGACCGGAGAACGGAGCCGCAATCTCTGCATCACAAACACACAGGAGAGCGCGTCCAAGTCATGCATTATGGAATTCAGCTCATCTTTATAATAATAATAATAATAATGTCATCACAATGTCAGCACTGTATGTTTCCATACAATGGCGAAATTAGTCTCTGCATTTAACCCATCCACCACCAGGTGGTGCAGTGGGCAGCTATTGAAAGCGCCCGGGGGACATTTTGGGGATTAGACGTGCTGCCCAGAGACGCCACGTGATGTGCAGTGACTGGGGATCGAACCTGGGACTTTTATGCGACGTCAGGCAAGTAAATGACGGAAAATAAAACAAACAGAACGTGTGTTTTCTGAGTACACACCAACAGTAATAAGCTGATCGATGCCAGCGATGATGCGTTCACACTCTTGGTCCCTGCTTCTCTCGCCCCACTCCCCTGCCTGAGGCTTGTACATCAGTTCTTTCATCTCCTCGGCTGTCACAGGGATACCGCCTCCCTCCATCTCCGGCTCCTGGGCTGCACAACACGTACAAAGAAAGTTCTAAATACACAAAGAAGCTCCAAAACTCGTGATCAACTCCTGAGGGTTGTCCTTGAGAAGGCTAAAGCCAGAACGTTTATTACCATCATCTACAATAGGTTCTAAATCCCAAGGACTGAGTTTTTCTGTTTCCCCGTTGTCCCATCTGTGGAAAAACAAAACTGCCAAAAATCAACACAGTGCAACAATCAGACAATTTATTTTACTTATTCAATTTATTACGACCTAGCAAACCAAAGAAAAGTACAAAACTTGCATGTGACTTTGTAAGTGTCACCATTTTGTTATTTCAAAAACTGCATTACACACCTGACTTTGAAGCACTGGAAGAGGCTATCTGGGTATTCTGGCTGGTATGGCTCCTGACAGACAATGGTCCCAAACCACCAGGCATCATCAATCACCGAGCGAAATCGGTCATCTGTCATTTAGAAAAATAAAATAAATAAATAAATAAAAAAAAGAGGCAGAGCTCACATTGAGAGTGAATGATATCTGTCATTTATCTAAACAACTGAAGACAAACAATTTAAAACTGATTTAACAAAGCTTCCTCCGATTGCATTTCTTAATCTGTATGAAAACCTAAAGATTAAAAATACAATAAACAAAAATTAAACTGATGTACAAGACATATGAGCTGACTTACTTGGCTGCCAGTTTCTACGAAGTGCTTCATCATAACTTTGCCTCAACACCAAAAAATCTATCACATCCGGCATGTCATGATACCTGCAGAGAAAATCAGTGTCACTTAGAACAATTAATATTCAAGACCATGTCTGTGCAAAACTGATGCTAAAGGATAATAATTATTATTTATAAAGCCCTTTAAAACAACCACAGCTGCAACAATAAAATCAAGACAATTTAAACATATAAAAATAAAACAGTTAAAACATTAAGATCAATAAAAACAATAAAAACAGTGCAGAGCTAATTCAGTCTGTGCTAAAAGCCCGGGAGTAAAAACGGTCTTGGAGCAGCAACAGAAAAAGCTCTGTCCCCTCTGAGCCTCCGTTTGGACCTCGGCACCTCCAGGAGCAGCTGATCAGCTGATCTGAGGCACCAAGCAGGAGAGTATGGGTGAAGCAGCTCAGAGGTGTAGGATGGAGCAAGACCATTTAAACTTTTAAAAACAAATAAAATAACCTTAAAATGAACTCTAAAATGAACAGGCAGCCAGTGGAGTGAAGCCAGAGTTGGGATGAGGTGCTCCCTCTTTTGAACTCCAGTTAGAAGCCGAGCAGCAGCGTTCTGGACCAGCTGGAGGCGTCTGAGTGAGGACTGGTTGACTCCAAGGTAAAGAGTGTTGCAGTAACCCAGCCGAGAGGTGACGAAGGCATGGATTACTGTTTCCAGTTGCTGCTATGTTAGGATTGGCTTTACCTTAGCCAGCTGTCTGAGGTGATAAAAACTGGCCTTGACTAATCTAATCAAATTTAAAATTACTGTCTATTTTAAAACCCAAGTTAGATTAATTTAAAGGCAGTGTCAGAGGACCCAGAGCAACAGGGCAAAGTTCACAGGAGCCACTAGGGCTAAACACAATCACTTCTGTTTTATTTTAATTAAAATGTAAAAACTTTAAGGACATCCAGATTTTGATCTCTTCAAGACACAACAGAAGTGGCCTAACTGAGGGGGTATCTTTCTTTTTTAGTGGCATATAGATCTGACTATCGTCAGCATAGCAGTTTAAAAAGATCCCATGCTTTCTGAGGATTGATCCCAAAGAAAGCAGGTAAAGGGAGAAAAGCAGGGGACCTAAAATAGAGCCCTGTGGATCTCCAAAAAACAGAGGGGCAGTGGAGGATTCAGAACCAGCTCAATAATACATTCTACAAAAAATTGATCAAATGAAACAGAACAAACTTTATCCACAGATGAATTTCAAACATGAGCTGCCTACTTTATTGAGAACGACTTGTCGGTTATTTTGCCAGTGCCGTGATCAATAAGGGACAGTTTCACACAGCAGAGTGTTGGAGGACAAACTTCATATTTGATGCCAGTGATCTTCACAAACTCTTGGTCCTTGGGGGAGGAAAAAGAAAAAAAGAAATCTCAGTAAATATTCTGTAGAAAACGGACAACTTGTGAGATCACTAGCTACCAAAAATACTTTTTGCTCTTCTCTGTGTTAGCGCTATATTTCACAAACCAGAGGACAGATTTTATTATAACTCAGAAATTAACCTGTACAGCTACAGCTAATAAAATATAGCTAGAGCAAATCTGGTAATAACCCAGTCGTTTTTACAGATATTAGGCTGAAATGTGCTGTGGTATTAGCTAAGGATCTTCCCCAACACAAACGGTTTAAAAACTCCGGCCTTTAATTATTCGTTTTTAAGAAATCTACTGGAACATTTCAGTATAAGCTTTGATTTATACCCTCAGCTCCAGTTTTTTCCATGGCTGCTTATCTAAGTTGATGGGGTAAAGCTCACTCCGATTCACAGCCTCGACATACGCCTCGTGCCCCTGACGAAAGTAGATCACCTGACAAAGGAAAAAAAATAATCATTCTTACAACAACAACTTTGTCCACAACAGCTTTGCTTCCACACATGCTGCACAAAGTAAATGTGCTTAAAAAAACCTTGTAGGGTAAGATGTTTTCCCATCGAGTAAAAACTCCATAAACTACGATTGATCTCTGGGTTTAGTGAAGTTCTACGTTTTAAATGCAGGTGGAAAAAAAATGTGTTGCTAAATAAACATTTAATCTGGTCAATTTCTGCAAATAACTTTACAATGCAACATGTCAAATTAATTAGGTAGAAGAGTGAACACATCCATGACATGGTTCTGAAACTCCAACAACAGGAGCCACTCTCGTCACGTACCTCATCGCCCATTTGGGGAACAAACGGAGACTTCCTGGGAATGACATCAGTGATCCACGCTGACGGTCTGAACTCATTGGACACCTCCCTGTTAATAGATGGTCTGGCCTTTGGACGCTGATTAGAGCAGCATATATAAAATGTTAAGCATGAAGATGTAAGAACGTAATGTTTTTATTTACGGTTTTAAACATTCATCTATCGAGGATTGAATCTAAAACAACGTTTAATAAGTAACTAACCATTCTAGATTTACATGGAACTAGTAAACTCACCCTGGGTGAGTGACTTTTTGCTTTCTTAGACTTCTCTTTGTGTTTCTTTGCAGGTTTTTCCTCCTCATCACTTTGCTGCTTCTCCTCCTCTTCCTCATTTTCTTCATCCTCCTCCTCAGAGCTGCTGAGTTTGCGCCTTGCTCGTTTTCGTGATGACAAGGGGGTGGAGGGCTGCAGGTTTATGCCAGCATCTGCTGTCCAGTCAGAGTACTCGCTGGATGTGTGACTGTGCAGACAAAAACCTTACTTTTAACACAAGTTAAATCAGCATTACAAACACCAGACTTTGACTCAACCAGAGAAAAATACCACATGGACCACCGTCTTACACCATGCATGATGTAACAAAGGTTTGACAAGTTCAAACGTTCACAAAGAAAAAAACAAAAAAAAACACGTATTCCCACTAAAGCGAGGACTGGCTCAAGTCTATACCCTCTTGCAAAAATCATGATAAACTCAGTCCTGTGGGGAATGTTCTTTCAGTTCAATTTAGTTTAAAATATATAAATCACACACATTGTAGTAGGTCAATTTCTAGTAGAGGATAAAATTATGGAATCAGTTTGGAGGAACAGATTGTGGTCTCATGAGAAAAACCACTGCCCCATTAGTATTTTGTTGCAACCACCTCTGGCTTTACATTGACCACAAACAGGATGTGAGGTTGTGTGACCAGCTGTTTGTGTGTGCTGCTAACCCAGCTAGGGGCAAGGCTCTGTCCAGACCAGGGCTCTGCAACCTGCGGCTCTGGAGCCACATGTGGCTCTTTGGTCCCTCTGCAGCGGCTCTTTCAAGCTTTGACCATAACTAATATAAAACAGAATTTTATACGATGTTATACCCACAAAAAATACTAGTCTTTGCAGTTTTCCTGTCATTTCCTTTGCAAATATGCAGAATAATAGTACTAATACACAAAGTAAATTATACTCACTTTAACTTTATGCTTTATTTCTTCAAAGTAAAATACTCAATTACTCCATAATGAAAAAAAAAAAATCACATCTGCACAGTTCATTGTTTTAGTTTTAAAACAAATTGGCAAAAATAATATGTAAATATGTTTTTCTTTACAAGAATCCAGTCTTCTGTGATGGACCTGTCCAGGGTGTCCCCTGCCTCTCACACAGTGACTGCTGGACATGGGCACCAGTGACCCCCTCAACCCAAAAAAAGAAGAAGCAGATGGATGGATGGAGTCCAGTCTTTTCTTTGGTTTCAAAATGTAAAAATATCAATAAATGTTAACCATTGGATGGTTTTAGTTTTATAATTTCACACCTACTGGCCAGAAAAACCCCATCTAAAACACTTAAAGTGGCCCATGGGCCACCAGTTAATAATGACAATTGTAGCAGGTTGCGGCTCTGGACACGTTTAATTTAGTGAACGAAAGGGCAGAAATGGCTCTTTTGATCGTAAAACTTACAGAACCCTGGTCCAGACAGACTCTCCCACTGACTGTGGAGGCTATTTCTCCAACTTACAACAGCAGGGGTCTCCCAATCCCTCAAGGTGAGAGCACACTCCACCAGGGGCGTAGCAACTTCCTGGGCCATATTTAGAGGGGTGCCCGTGAGTGACACACAGTATGTGCTGCAGCCAGCTGGTCTTCACCACACACATTTGTTTGGTTTTATCATTTGGATATAAGAGCCCCTCCTGTGGCTCACTCTGTTCTCTGCTCTGGTCTGAGGTGCTGCACTAGCATGACGTATTTGACCCAGGATGGATGGCTGCTCTGTGGGACATTTATTTTTGTCCCATACGTCACGTATTATACAGAGTGAATCGACTGAAAGGAAACGTCATCAGGATTTCCCCTACCATTATTCAAGGAGGGTGCCCCACCCTGTCAACAGAACCGAGCGCCCCGCCTACCAAATCCCCCCCATGCAGCGCCACCACTTCCGGACAGGGAGGTTAGCAGTCCAGATCTGACTCCAAACAGCAAAAACCACACGCAATACAAACGTGGTGATCTGCTACCCCACAGTCCCACTGATAACTGCCAGCACTAGCTTGGCGCTACGCTAGCACCCTGCTTTGTGCATCAGCTCTCCAAGGTGTGTGCGATCAAGACTAAGGTCGTTGTCACACCAGATAGTTCGGTAGACTCGGTTCGGGACCAATATTCATGAGCTTTTGTTTACATTTGAGCTGGTGAGTTTGCATTCAAACTGCACTGTGCAGTCGAGTCAACCTGTTGAACCAACCTGTTCCCCCTCTCGCCTGTGGGGGCGCTGCACCAAGAACTACTGAAAGAAACAACAAAAACCTCTGAAGACACGTCTTCTTCTTCTGTAAATAAAAATAAAAACGAAGTGGCATCAAGTTTTAGCAGTTTTAGGAGTTATATTTTGTCATTTTTCAAAAATGGACTTAGCATGAGCAGAAGATGAGACAGAAGACCATGGAGAATATTGTTTTCCACACAAGGCAGCTGACGGCTCCATATAAGGTCAGAGAAATGCGTGTTTGTTTACCCTGCGGAGCGGGGCTCGGTCTGTTTACATTCACACTGCACTCGAACCGTGCTGGAGTTCGCTTCTACCGGACCGAGACCTAGGTTTTAGCCCGGGCCAGAGTTCGCCTTTTTGTTCCATGACAGAGTTCGATGGCGCGTTCACACCTCCCTAAACGAGCCGGACTTTCTAGGAAAACGAGCTAGAGTTCGATTAAAGCGGACTAAACAGGGCTAGTGTGAATGCACCCTAAATTAAAAAAATCAAGACTAATTAGTAGATTTAGTTTGATGCAGGTGTTGTTGTTTTCAAACTACAGATTCCATCTTTTATCTCTCTACTTGACCTAAAAATGCAACAGCAATTATACTACTGGTACTTTTTACAGTTTGAGGCCAGAAGATTGGAAATTCGAAAAATCAGTTTTTTGGCATGTCTGACTTATTTAGTTTTTACAACAAAATTAAACAATTGCAAGAATATTCTCCAAAAGGGGCGATTCCAAATGTTTTGCCAAGGGTTGTGTATAGGGTTATACCTTGAAGTGTCACTGTTCCACTCCTCCTCATCATTAGAGGAGTCCAGCTCACTACCATCCAGTTCATTTTCCTGAAAATAAATAAATAAATCTCAGAAGTTTGTATCTCACAATTTCACACAGTCACAAGGAGTGGTAACGGAAATACCTCGGAGTGTACGTCTGAACTGGCTGTTTCCTCTCCCTCTTCACACGAGAATTCGATCAGTTCTGGTGAACCTTTGCGGCCATGGGTTCTTTTTGCAGGAGGCTCATCGTCTGAATCATCCTGAGGACAGACGGGACCGGATAAGCGCTCATTCAAAAAATAATAAAATGTTTTGAAGAAATTTGGAAAGGATATAAACCATCACATTCTGTTACGCTGAAGTAATATTTTGAGCAACGTGACCAACATGTGGACTGTTGCAGGGAAAACATTTTGTATCCATGTTGCATTTTTTTAATTCTAGAATGCAAAATTAGTGACTGGCATATATCTTAGGTCTTCTAATGTATATCTTAGTTTAGATCTCAGATCCTTATTTACCGTTTCTTTTTACACTTTATATTTTTGCTATAGTTTGATGTAACTGGGACCCTGTGTACACAGTTTCATTCCACTACATGCACCACATGTGATGCAAATGATAATAAAGAAACTGACTCTGAATAGTAAAACACAAGAGTTTAACAAAACCTTTACTACACTCTTTAAACATTATTCTACACATAATTCAAACTGCTGCTGAAGCCCATCTGGTACAGCGGTCACCCTGTAAAAGAGATAAAGGGGTTTGATTCCCAGCTCCTGCAGTGTGTCAAGACACTGAATCACATATAGAAAGCAATGGATGTGTGTGTGTAAACTTGAGAAGATTAAAAAAGCTGGAATATTTATAATAATAATGTCATCACATTGTCATCACTGTACGTTTCCATACAATGGCAAAAATAGTCTCTGCATTTAACCCATCCACCACCAGGTGGTGCAGTGGGCAGCTATTGAGGGTGCCAGGGGGGCATTTTGGGGATGATGTGTGCTGCCCAGAGACACCACGAGGTATGCAGTGACCGGGGATCGAACCTGGGACTTTCGGGTCCCAAGCCAGCAGCCCTGCCTCTGCACCATCTCGGCCCCCATAAGATGGCTTTAAAAGGAGATACCTACCCGGCAGCTGTAGAAAACACGTCTCTTCTTTGTATTGTACAGAAGCACCTCCTCATCTCCTCTGACTAGTCGAATGTCCTCCTGATTCCTGAAAAAAATATTTCTACAATGTTTATCTTGAGAAACAATACGAAAAAGGTGGGGAAAGTACAACATCAAATACACCAAAAGTATACCAATAATCTTAAATCACACCCTAAATGATAAATGCTTCTGGTCATAACCTATTTAAAAAAAAGTAGCATTTCTTGTAGGAATGTATATTACATGCATTTCTAATTTTAAATAAAGACTACAGGCCCTGGTAGCACTCAAGTGTGTATTGGGGATGACTTTTAGCTACCACCATACCAAATGTTAGCTTGCTTCAGGTATAGCCATGTTAGTGTTTGTTACAAGTGATCAACTGTAGCGGCCCTCAATTCAGGCTAACTCATAAAGTTCTTAGTTTAGATGTATATTTATTGATTAGTTCTCTGACTATTAAGTTTGTAGCTGCTGTAAGCCACAAAGATCTACTGAAAAGTACTATAAAAAGTGCTCCATATATTTAAAATGTTTCCTGGAGGATCACTATTTTAAAGGTGTTCCAATCAGGCTTCAAATCACTCCCCAGCACAGAGACTGCTCTACTGAAGGTCTTTAATGACATTTTCATAGCCACGGATGCAGGTGATTCTGTGATCGTCTTACTGGACCTTACATCTGCTTTTGACACCATCGACCACGAGCTCCTGATTTCTAGGCTGGAGCAGTGGGTGGGCATCACAGAATAAGCCCTCAAATGGTTTAGATCCTACAGAACCATTTGTGGCAACATCAAGGATTTTATTTCAACATCGGCAGATCTTCGCTGAGGGGGTACCACAAGGGTCCATTCTGAGTCCTCTTCGCATTTCTTTATACATGCTGCCACCAAGTCCTATTTTTCATAAACACGGCATACTTTTACATTTTTACGCTGATGACTGTCAAATTTACTTCCCTCTGAAGCACAGTGGTGCACGTTCTATCCAACCTCTTCTTGACTGCCTGGCTGACCTAAGGGACTGGATGGCTTTAAATTTCTAAAGTTTTAATGAGAATAAGACTGAAGTCATGCTGTTTCCTCCTAATGACAATCAAGAACCATGGTATCAACCTTTCCTCTCTAGCCCCATTAGAGAAACAAACAGTCACTAATCTGGGAGTGATAATGGACCCTTCCATGAAACTTGATCAGTTCTGCCCCCTCCTATTTCACTGATCTGCTGCAGCCATATGTCCCACAGCGCTCTCTGAGGTCAGCAGACCAGATGCTTTTATTGGTTCCAGGCACTCATTTTAAGCCCAGAGGTGACAGGGCCTTCTCTGTTGCAGGTCCAAGACTGTGAAATGACTTACCATTACATGTCAGGCAGGCTCCCTCTCTCACTGTTTTTAAGCCTGTATGAAAATTCAGTTTTATTCCCTGGCTTTTGACACTGTGTGAGTTATCTTAATTTCTCTGTATTCTATAATGTTAGTCATTTAGTTCTTATCTTAACCCATTTGGATCTATTTTATCCTGTGTCCTTTGCTTGTTCCGTTTTTGCTGTACAGCACTTTGGTTGGCCTTGTTGCTGTTTAAAGTGCTTTATAAATAAAGTTGTATGATATGGTATAAATTTGAGGTAAAAAAGTAAAACTGAACCTATAGCTGCTGGGTGCCAGTTCCGGTACCACAACCCTGCGTCTCCAGGCCTGCAGGTCTCTCTCAGTGGCCATCTGGCTGCGAGGAGCATTTTGATGCATTTGTCTTACGCCCTCTACTTGCCCGCTGCGGCGCAGACCCACGTTTGGGGGGGACTGCACATCTGCTCGGTCATTTACAGACACTGCAATTAAAGAAAAATAAATACGAGTGCTTCGGGAGTACGGTCATGGGTATTGTATATGTCAACAAAAATGATCCAGAGTAACACTTCCATACCAATACCTCTGCGAGGTGTGCTTGGTGCTGGTGCCAACACTGGGCCGTGGGCTTCAACTTGCCCTTCTGGTCCAGCTCCGGACCTCGTTGTCACATCTGCATGAGGCTGGCTCTGCCGATCTTGTTGCTGCTGGAGCTGTCGGATGGCCTCGTCCAGGAGGCTGCTGCGTCTTACTGTGATCGCCTCGTGCTCTGCAGTCTGCTGGCTGATGACCTGCTCCACCACCTCACCATCACCTGAAGAAAACCAGAAATCAAAACATGAAGATTTAGAGGTATTTTGTTTATAACATGAACAGTGGAGAATTTTAAAATGATCCAAAACAATTAGGATGCGTTTTCTTTTAATCTTGTTGGCTAATGTCTTACTAAATGGGTAATTACCATAAAAATAGGGCTACAGGATGTGAGAAAAACTTGTGACATGCAATAATATAGTTTATTATGATGATGAAAGTATCAATTCTAATAAACCCACACAAAACCAACCACATATATCATTAGTATACAGAACACAAATGAATGAATAGTACTTGAAATATAATAACCTTTGAATTATTGCAGTCCAGGCAGTTTTTTTGATATTGATACTGCTATGACAATAACATCGAGTATAATGTGCAGCCCTACTGAATAATTTATCTAAAAGCAAGTTTTTATAAGAAAAAAAGGTTTACTTTGGTCATACAATGAAAAATAAAATCTTACTGGTGGCTACGTATCCTAACTGAGGAACCAGGTGCTCGGCAGCAATGTTCTCCCTCCCAGGGACAAGACGCTGGTATCTGAAATAAGGTCAAATATTAAATTTTTAAAATACTGCAGAGTTTATTTGAAAGAAAAAAAAGAATGGCGGTTATTATAAGAAAAATGATTTGACTTTACAATTATATACTGTACCAAAAAGGTAGATGTGCACAGAGAGTATGTATTTATAGTTAACTGAACATAAGGAAAAGGTTAAACAAGTAAAGAGAAGTTTTTGTAACTCAGATGATGTGAAGGACTGACTCAGGATCTCAAGCAGAGAAACTGTAGTTGACTCAGACAAATTAAAGAGACCAAGCTCAGAGAAATGACTGATCTCACTAGAATATCTAAGAAAATGAGTCACATTCTTTTACATGCAGCCTTTTTTAATAAAATCATGTTGCTTACATTAAACTCACTGTGCTGAAAAAACAAAATGTTATCAAAACAAAACCCAAAAACACCACTCGATTTTCAACGTACATTATAGTTTATATCCATAGAATAGTTGGAAAAGGGAGAAAACTTTTAGCAGACCTGAAAATCTTAAAATTAAAAAAGGATCACTTGTCATGCGAGTCTTCAGCCAGAATCTCACTCAGCTGCTACTATTGGTGACAAACTGAAAGACATTTGCTAAATAATGATACAAAATGTCTGCAGTGGGTCTCAATGTCCTTGTGAGTGGCAGAGCCTTGGTTCCTTGTTATTTAAATTTTAAGTCTGCTCAAAAGTCAGCGAGACAAATTTTCTCTAGTCGGTCATCTGAAAACCATCTCAAACCCTCAGTTCAGTTTCCTTAAATCCATAGTTCTCACTAAACTTCTGTATTTTTGTGAATTACCACCTTGTTTTGCTCTTGTGTGAAAACTTGTAGGTATTTGTAACCTGATATTATAAGCAGTGTTTGTGGGAGGAAAAAGACTTCAGCCACAGTGCAGCATTTCTCTTGAGCTTCATGCAAGGTTTCCTCCTTGAGCTCATCCACCTGTGTTACTGTTGGACAGGTGCGCCGCTGCAGTCAAACTCCATATCTGACACAGTCCCTGGAGTGAGTCACGCCAGAGTGGGCTGAGCACTTTGTCAGCTAAGCTTGCCTTCACAAATAAGTGGGAAAAAAATGATGAAAAGTAGCATTTTACTGTGGTCATTGAGCAGCAACAGCTCTGTGATGCCCCAAAATGTCTGTGTGCACACACCACACTTATTAATAGCTTCTTATATTTATTTTTGTATTTTTTTTTTTTTTTTTACAAATTTTCTTTAAATCCTGCAATCAGGAAGTAAACTTGTTTTTACCACAGACTCTTGGTGCAGGTCTACTGAACTACAGGTGCTGGTCATAAAATTAGAATATCATGAAAATGTTGATTTATTTCAGTAATTCCATTCGAAACGTGAAACTTGTATATTATATTCATTCATTACACACAGACTGATATATTTCCAATGTTTATTTCTTTTAATGTTGATGATTATAACTGACAACTAATGAAAATCCCAAATTCAGTATCAGAAAATTAGAATATTACTTAAGACCAATAAAAAATATATTTTTAGAAATGTTGGCCACCTGAAAAGTATGAACATGAAAAGTATGAACATGAAAAGTATGAGCATGTACAGGATCAGTACTTAGTTGTTGCTCCTTTTGCCTGGATTACTGCAGCAGTGCGGCGTGGCATGGAGTCGATCAATCTGTGTCACTGCTCAGGTGTCATGAGAGCCCAGGTTGCTCTGATAGTGGCCTTCAGCTCTTCTGAATTGTTGGGTCTGGTGTATCACATCTTCCTCTTCACATTATCTCATAGATTTTCTATGGAGTTAAGGTCAGGTGAGTTTGCTGGCCAATTAAGAACAGGGATACCATGGTCCTTAAACCAGGTACTGGTAGCTTTGGCACTGTGTGCAGGTGCCAAGTCCTGTTGGAAAATGAAATCTGCATCTCCATGAAGTTGGTCAGCAGCAGGATCTAAAACTTCCTGGTAGATGATGTGTTAACATTGGACCTCAGAAAACACAGTGGACCAACACCAGCAGATGATATGGCACCCCAAACCATCACTGACTGGAAACTTGACACTGGACCTCAAGCAACGTGGATTCTGTGCCTCTCCTCTCTTCCTCCAGACTCTGGGACCTTGATGTCCAAAGGAAATGTAACATTTACTTCTTCAGAGAACATAACTTTGGACCACTCAGCAGCAGTCCCAGGCGAGACACTTCTGATGTTGTCTCTTGTTTAAGAGTGGCTTGACACAAGGAATGTGACAGCTGAACCCCTTGTCTTTCATACTTCTGAGCCAGGTGGTTCTTGAAGCACTGACTCCAGCAGCAGTCCACTCTGTGAATCTCCTCCACATTTTGGAATGGGTTTTGTTTCAACATCCTCTCCAGGGTGCGGTTATCCTTATTGCATGTACACTTTCTTTTCTACCACACCTTTTCCTTCCCTTCGCCTCTTTATTAATGTGCTTGGACACAGAGCTCTGTGAACAGCCAGCCTCTTTAGCAATGACCTGTTGTGTCTTGCCCTCCTTGTGCAAGGTGTCACTGGTCATCTTTTGGACACTTGTCCAGTCAGCAGTCTTCCCCGTGATTGTGTAGCCTACAGAACTAGACTGAGAGACCATTTAAAGACCTTTGCAAGTGTTTTGAGTTAATCAGCTGATTAGAGTGTGACACCAGGTGTCTTCAATATTGAACCTTTTCACAATATTCAAATGTTCTGAGATACTGAATTTGGGATTTTCTTAGTTGCCATAGCTTAACTAACATCTTATGGAGTTGATGGCTCCATAATGTGGAGGAAATGAACCAAACACACTGTTTTTATACACATGTGTGTATAATCAACATTAAAAGAAATAAACATTTGAAATATATCAGTCAGTGTGTAATGAATGAATATAACATACAAGTTTCACTTTTTGAATGGAATTACTGAAATAAATCAACTTTTTCATGATATTCTAATTTTATGACCAGCACCTGTACCAGATGTGTGCTGCTTGCTGAGAAAGAACAACCTACGTTGCTTTTTTTTAGGCTTTTGGGCATTTGAGGCAAAATTATTAATCATTTTCAGAGCCTTTCTTCTGCCTTGGGCTCCGAGAAGTTTGAGAAAACTTCAGAGGCTACAGCCTCGAAAGCCCAGATTTAACTTGGTGACATTAAGAAAGGTGAACAAAGCCCCCCCCCCCCCCCCCATTATTCAAAATTGAAGACAAATTACTTGTTTGTGCTGCCATGTTTTATTTTTGAATGTAGAGTCTGTGCAGTAGTGAAGAGCTACTTGAATCAATAAAAAACACTTGTAGAAGAAAATATCTGAAGTGCACTTGTTTTTTTTTGTCACAAAATTGTCCCATTAAATTATGTGGAGGGGCAGGACTTACTAATTGTACAGTAGCCAGCCACAAGGAGGTGCTGGTCCTTTGTAGCTTCAACTTTCAGCATGGGGTCCTGCCTCTTACTAGCTGAAGATGAGTATTAGTAACTAATAAAAACTGGTCCTAAATATGAACAAATTATAACCTGAAGAGAACATTTTGGAGCACTCCAACACTGCAGCTGAAAATATGCACACAACTTTGAGTTGCTGCCAACTACTCACAGCCCAGCAAGTTACTGGCGTTTGTAGTTTCAGGTCAATCAGAACAAAGACATTATTGTTCAAGGTCTTTACCTTGGTGGGTGGGGGTTTCCATCTACATCGACCAAGAATGGCGGGGGCATGAGATGAGGTGCCTGCTGCGTCTGCTCGTCCAACACGAAGCCGTTAGCATCCCGAATGAGCGGCCTGTAGTCCGTGTGGAAAAACACCTGGTCTGGAAGCTGCAGGGACCAGGACAAGCAATAATTTCAAAAACAGCTCGACTTTGCTGCTCTGCTTTACAAAAATGCTTGCAAGTCAAATTAAACACTTGTTTTTGACTGATGGTGCAGCATTTCAAAGAAAGTCTCAGATAGAAAAATGCAACTATGCGTCTTGCCTTTTCGTAGGGTTTGGAACTGCCAAAGCCAAAGATGAGCAGATGGCCGTGCGAGTCTGTGCAGGCGAAACGTTGACCGTCAGGAGTGAATTTGCAGTCAAACACGGCTCCATGACCCTGACCTTCAATCTGGATGAAAATAATCCTATTTATTTACAAGAACATGACAGAAGAAATGTTTTTTTTCTAATACTTGAAATACGAGACACAGAATGTTCTAGTCCCCAAAAAACAAAATCTTCCTCTTCTTTCAGCTGTTCTCTTATCAGGGGTCACCACAGAAAGCAACCCCTCCATCTCACTCAAACAAAACAAATTCACATTTTGTGTACTTGTCTGATCTACATGTAGGAGGCGCAGACCGTATTTAATCACTGAACTACAAAAAACACGAAGTCAAACACTTGGTGAAAAACAGACCAGTTGTGTTTAAAACAAGTCAACTTCTGTTCTGCATGTAAACATCTGTTATCGTTTGCATCATGCTATGCCCTTAAATAATTTTAATGAAAGAATTTAATACAGTGGCGGCACGGTGGCTCAGTTGGTAGAGCTGTCACCTCTCAGCGAGAAGGTTGACGGATCGAATCCCGGTCCGGGGGCCTTTCTGGGCGGAGTTTGCATGTTCTCTCCGTGCATGCGTGGGTTTTCTCCGGATGGTCCGGTTGCCTCCCACAGACCAAAAACATGCATGTTAGGCTGATTGGTAACTAAATTGGCCCTAGGTGTGAGTTAAACGGTTGTCTCGTTTGTCTCTATGTGTCCCTGTGATGGACCTGTCCAGCGTGTCCCCCACCACTCATACAGTGGCTGCTGGACATGGGCACCAAGGGATGGATTTAATAAAAACTTTATTCTTGTAACACCACATGCCCGTGCAGAGCGCTCGTGTACCATGTTGAAGTAATGCTGCGTGTTTGTCCCTCGCTGCAGATCCCAGATGAAGACGTTCCCATCGTGGCCAGCAGACAGGATGATCCTTGGATCAAAGGGGTGCGGTTCAAGGACAAACACCTCAGCCTCATGGCCCTGGACACAAATGTTCAGTGGTTTCAATTTGCCAACGTTAATTTACACACTGTGGAAAAGAAAACAGTGAACAGTTACTTTGAGGACATGTAGCAGCTGCCCCGTGTAGGAGTTCCACACTTTGAGGAGATGGTTGTTCACAGCAGTGACGACTGTACTGTCATGACGATCCCAGGCTACCATGGTGACTTTGGGTTTAAAGTAGTTTTCTTCTTCACTCGTTGGTTCAGCACTGAGAGGGAAACAGAACATTATTAGCAAAAACAGGTGTAAAATACTTCCCCGAGTCATTTTACACCAGTAACTTACAGGCTGTAGCTGCTGATCATTTCTGAGTGAACAAGGGTTTGCTTAAAAAAAAAGTTGTATTATTTTGTGTGCTTTCTTTCATTTTGCCAAAGAATAAAAAATAAAAACACTTTGTCTTCCATAAGTCTAAAAAAAAAAAAAGTAAAACGTGGTAATTACTTAGCTCAAGACTGAACAACTGTCAATAAGGACCACTTGCTTGTTTTATTTAAGTCAAACGTGTGCAGAGATTATTTTGTCTGAATTTACACAAGACATCCTAAAGAAGTTAAAACTTAGACTTATAATTCAGTACGGTTTAATATTGGTAAATTTAAATATGTACAGACAAATGTGCATATTTAAACAGCTGTAGAGGATTTATATGTTGGAGCAAACTTAGAAAAACGAATAATAAACAAAAACTAGAAAGTTCAGTGTGCGTGTTTTCTTTTTACTATCAATCCACACAAACTTGATCTAAATGTCTGGATAATAAGTACATTTGAACTTTAAAAACCTTTTCTCACTAAATTTCTAGGAGTGACGATCATCTTTTATTTGAAAATCACTGTGCGTCTACAAAGGACAAAGCAAACATTATTGAACCATGACATCTACCATATTTTCCGGCGTACAAGTTGCACCTTTTTGCATAAATTTGAAAGTCCTGCAACTTCTACACCTAAAAGACAAATATACGTTGTTTTCCCATATTTATAACCTAATTTTTGACTTTGAAATGTTCATACAGACATGAACCAGTAAAAATTAAGAGGGCCCTCTAGTCTTTTATATGTTGTTCCTCTATCCCGCTCCAGAGCTCGCAGTCGGAGCCTTAGATCCCGCTCTGGCAGTGCAGCGAGGAGGAACACCATCGCCCAGACAAAATGAAGCCGTTTTGACCATTAAAGTGCATTTATTAAGGAAAAGTTCAACTGAGACACACCTTTGCTATAATGTTGAGCAAACAATTAATTGTTTTTAAATGTTAATCTTGTTAAATAAATTATTGTTAAAGTCTTCCTGTGCATTTGGCAGCCAATCCATTTTTGGCCACGTTTCCAGGTGGTGAGTGGTGACGCATAAGAAAGGGACTTATTTATGTTTTTTTCCCACTTTAGACTTTTTTGGACTGATGCAACTTGTACAGCAGAAAGTACAGTATTTGTGAAAAGAAGTGTAGAAGTAAAAACCTGACCGGGACTTGATAGTCAATACTAAATGATTGAGTCAAGACAATCTGACAACTGAACAAACATTTGGATAAACCTACTTCTCAGCCGACATCGGCACGTTTTACTTAGAAGCTTCTCTCGTTCTGGCCACAATAAGAAAAAGTACAGTAGTCCCTCGCTACTACACGGTTTGTTTGTCGCTGACTTGCTCCATCACGTTTTTTCAAAGTAAGACAGGACATGACACACAACTGGCTGATCAATGGACGAGCCGCACGAATGGAATTCTATCAGGCCGTATTGGAAAGTAACATCAGGTTTGGAATGTCAGCGTGGTACGGTAATCTCTCTGTGCAACAAATCTCAACTTAGTCGCATGGTACAAACTACTATGAAGGTGATAGGAAGGACTGATCGCCCCTCCCTGCAGTCTATCTATGATGAGTCCGTCCTCAGACGTGCTCGCAGGGTACCGTCTGACCCCGCTCACATCCTCCTCACAATGCGAACCGTTACCATCTGGAAAACGGTTTAGAATCTCTGGTTGTAGACGGAACAGATTTTAAAAATCATTTGTACCTACATCAATCAGATTGTTAAATAAAGTAGGCATATAGTTTTTTGTTATGCAATGATGTTCTGGTCTCATTGTTGTGTCTTTTACTTGCTGGAATGTATGTGCAATTTGCGTTTTTATTGAATCATGTGTTTTTATCGAGTATTAGGTACATGATTTTATTGTTTGTAGTGTATTTAATTGTGGAAGAAGCTTCGTTTAGCGCACGATGTCCAAGACAAATTTCCCCTTGGGGACAATAAAGTATATACATCTATCTATCTACTACTTGTACTACTATTCCTACTTCACGTTTTACACTTAATGTTTATCTTCAGGGTACGGATCACCCGCAATAAACGAGGGATTACTGTACCACAGCAAGAAAAGAGCCATTTAACCCAGACGAGAGACTCGATCCATACCCAGGAAGAGAAGCAGACATGTTGAGCAGGATGCACCTCCATCTCTGCCGCTGATGCAGCTTCCAGATTCGTGCAGTTCCATCCCGACTTCCACTCACAAACCTGAGACAGGACGATACATCTCTCAGCTTCCTCTGTACAACGCTACATTTAACAGTGTTGATTCACATCACACACACAGTGCAACAATGAAGGCAGAAGATACAAACCTTTCACCTGAATGACAAAACTGGATGCTGTCAACTTTGTCCTAGAAACAGAAAACATACGGACAGAGTTTGTGTCAAGTGAAAAACTGTGAAATGGTAAGTTCATGTTAGAATGTGTACAGTTATAATGTTACACAACCAAAGTCAGCTTACTGTGTGCTCGTGGAGTTCTGATACCTTCTCTGGACTACCGTTTCCTAAATAATATATCCTAATGACATCATCTGTACTTCCTGTTGCTAAGAACATCCCACCTTAAAATGAAACCATTAAAAAAAAAAAAATTAGTTTTGTGCGCACAAATCAGATTTCACAAAAAGATTCAAATTCAAAAAAAAAAAAAAAAAAAAAAACCTACTTGTGAAATTAAATGAACACGAGTTTCAGGTTTGTTCAACACTTACAACTACGGTGGCCCTGAGGTGTAAATGAGCAACATTTGAAAAAACAGAATTACGTGTGAAAAAAACGGAATTACATTAAGCTAAAGCGGAAGTGGCCAGAATCACTTTGGGAAAAACAGAATTACACTTGGGGCAAAACGGTGGCACAACTGGTAGAGTTGCTGCCTCTCAGCAAGTCGGTCCCTGGTTCAAATCCCGGTCCGAGGGCCTTTCTGGGTGGAGTTTGCATGTTCTCTCCGTGCATGCGTGGGTTTTCTCCGGGTCCTCCGGCTTCCTCCCACAGACCAAACGCATGCATGTTAGGCTGATTGGTAACTCTAAATTGTTCCTGGGTGTGAGTGAGAGAGTGAATGGTTGTTTGTCTCGTTTGTCTCTATGTGTCCCTCTGATGGACTGGAGACCTGTCCAGGGTGTCCCCCGCCCCTCGCACAGTGATTGCTGGACATGGACACCGGCGACCCCCATGACCCAAAATGGAAGAAGCGGGTAAAAGATAATGGATGGATGGAATTACATTTGAAAAAAAAAAAAAAAAACAGAATTACATTAAGCCAAAGTGGACAGAATCACATTTGAAATAACAGAAATGGATTAAGCAAAACAGGCAGCACGGTGGCGCAACTGGTAGAGCTGCTGCCTCTCAGCGAGCAGGTCCTTGGTTCAAACCCCGGTCCGGGGGCCTTTCTGGGTGGAGTTTGCATGTTCTCTCCATGCATGCATGGGTTTTCTCCGGGTGCTCCGGTTTCCTCCCACAGACCAAAAACATGCATGTTAGGTTGATTGGTGACTCTAAATTGTCCTTAGGTGTGAGTGAGAAAGTGAATGTTTGTTTGTCTCGTTTGTCTCTATGTGTCCCTGTGATGGACTTGCGACCCGTCCAGGGTGTACCCCGCCCCTCGCACAGTGATTGCTGGACATGGGCACCGGCT